CTTCCAGTCATCTTAAGGCATCAAAAGAAACATTTTTAAGATCATACTTTCATATGAACGTTTACAAGAGTGTGACAAACCCACTTAAGGGATAACTATCAATTACTTTGAATTAGTATCACATTTTCCAATTTTTTAAGTCAAAGATACCCAAACCAAATGACAAAATTCAGGCAGTTCAAATGAATGAAATGAAAACGAATCAGAACACTTACCAGAGCTCACATATTTGAAGAAACTGTTAAGAAAGGCAGTTTTGGATTAAAAAGAACGAACAATAAAACTGCAAAAATGGGTATGCATAATGTCCCATCTGGGTGATCGTTTTTAAACTAACATTAGTTTTCCTCCAACATAAAAATGTCAATCATATATTTGTTGATTATTGATGACAGCATTCAGTGCACTGGTTTTCCAGGAGATGGAGGTAGAGTTCTCTAATGTTTTGATATAAAATATGCAAAAACTATTTCTTTCCATAAATGACATCAACTCAAACTAAAATTTGATCCATTTGGGTCAGTTAGGATTACTTAAACTATTGTACTATATTTCCAGTCATATCTATTAAGTTGAACGCCTTTGGGCAATTTGGGAAAGCCCAGATGATAGCTACATCACTTTGTAATGCACAACATTTAAATAACTGGAGGCAATTCTGAGGACACATTTTACAACACATGAATGGAAATAGAGAAGTGAATAAATATTGTATATGAATTATTTTTTTAGTTTTGTGTGTAGTGCTCGGATATGTCATCTTGGAACATAAACCCAACTCAGATTTGGATTTATGTTCGAAATCTGAAATGTGGACAATTACTACTGAAGAAAATAGAAGAGATAATTCAAGAAAGCCATGCAACAGAAAAACCGTATTTATGAATTAAGAGCCAACTTTGTTTTTTTTTCTCTCATTAGTGAGAAGGCATCAAATGTGACAGAGATGGCGCACACAGTGAAGGCGGCGTTGGATAAGACTGAGCGTGCTCAGAGCATCGCCATGGATGCCATTCAGCTGGCCAATAACAACACAAAAGAAACCACAGACCTGATCAACTCTGTAAGTTTGACCAATAAAAAGCATAAAGTCATTTTTAAAAATCAATTCGTCCAATATATAATGCAAAACTTGACATTCACATTTTGTACATTTGTACTTTCACTGCTTCTAAAAACAAGAGCTTAACAAAATCACCCAGTCATTATACCACCGCATAATGGCTGCTGGAAAAGACAAATGCTTTTTGTTGACTTTACAAACCATTTGCTTATTGTTGGTTGTGCTGGAGGCTCTACTAAGGCTTTTTAAAATGGCTGCATTTGTTTGCAGCCATTTTTATACGCAAGTGTAAACGTTGAGTTAGGGGGGTGTGGCTAGCAGCAGCTTATTTGGACTTAAAGTGGCAAGACAGCCCAAAATTATGAAGTTATATTAAGGCCATTGTAGATAGAAAATAAGGAATAGACTTTTTTACAAAAAAACATTTAAATTTTGTAATTAATTTACAAAATTTTCTAGAATAAAAAGAACATGAAGTCAGAAAGTCAAAAATTTACACAAAAAAATAGAACCGCAAATTTTGAGATGTCAGAAATTTTATAGAAAAATGTTGAACATTTGACATTAAAAGTAAAAAATATGCTCAAACTTTAAAATTTTGAAATAAATTCAAAAGTTTTCTTGAAAATTTTGGTAATTTCTGTGTTTCAAGAGTAAGTAAAAAATTATGCACTTTTGGAGTTCAGAAATTTCTTTGTTTTGTCTAAAGAATTTCTAAGAAAGATTTGGTGCAAAAACTCTAATGAACATGTTTTGTATCACTCACAGCCTGCCTCCTTTTAGCTCTAGTACTTTGAAAACGGGTTTGTGTTTCAGGTCGAATCAGAGACGGCACAATCGGAGCTGAAGCTCAGTGAGACCACCGGTCGTCTGTTGCAGCTGGAGCATGAGGTGGGCCTGCTGAGGCAGAACAACCTGGAGATGAACCAGAAGGTGGAAACAGCTGAGCGGGTCTCCGAACGGGCCAAAGCGATCGCAGAAGAGGCTCAAAAGGTCTCAAACCTTTACCAACCTGAGAGCTGATGACTTATGTTTAAGATTTTGACTTTTATTTTCCTCCCTACTGTCTGTGTAGGAGTTTGATGAGGATCTGAAGGATAAACTGGAGGTGGTGGAAGACTATATGGAGGACAAAGGGGAGTCAGTGCTGCAGGCGAAGAGCATAGCAGACGAGCTGAAGCAAAAGGCCAGAGAACTGATCACACAGAGCAATAACAAGCTGCAGAGACTCACAGGTGAACCATCTCAGAATCAGAACCAACAAAGATTTTATGTCCAAGTTGATTAATGAGTTAATCTAAAGCTGATTGAGCTTAACAATTAATTAATCAACTGCCATTAAAAATATATATATTGGGTTTTCTTGAAACATTAAGGGTATTTTTTCCTAATGTGCTGAATAAAAAGCACATTCCTAATCTTTAAAAAAACTAAAGATTAAATTTAAACAAAGTTTGTGTCAATTGTATTAAATACTAACTGACTAAACAGAAAATAGTTTTTTTTATATTTGTTAACATAAAGATGAAAAGAATAAACTATATAGAAGACTTAACCCTCATGAACAGAAAGATTTTCAGGGCCGCAGACTTTATTTCCATTCAGTAGAAAACTACACTTTGTGTTGCTAGCTGTGCTTCGGAGCGAATCTGTGATTTTTTTTTCTTGAACAGTTAACTGTACCCCGTTACGAAGCACGGATGAATTGGCGCTATTACAGTGAAAAAAATCAACCTTTAATACAAAGATGTTCTGTTCAGCTTGGAATATTTGAACGTTAAAGTGCAAAATTTGATACGACCTAAAACTGCTCCTTTAAGATTCATGTATGAAGTGTGCATGGAAACATTCGACAATTCTTTATATAATGCAAGCACTGCTTTTAAAGCCTTACTTTTTCCAACCATCTATGTAAACTTATCACATTGCGATATTTCCCTTCGCTACCACACACACACTTTAACTTGTAATGCATAAAAAAGCACCACACACACTCAAGTGTTTATATATCTAAACAGAACCGCATAAAGTGCGTTTTGCATCCCAAAACGAACATTTGGACCAGTTCTGTTTCCGGTTCAGGGAAGCGGCCTCCGCCATTTTGTTTACAACTCCGTTTAAAGGTGACCAATGGCGCCATCTTTTGGAGGGCGGCCAAACTACAACACTAAAAGAAGATCTAACAGATGTTAATTCAAAGCGAACTCATTTTAATCTAATGAACTATTTGTCAGTCTATTAACTGTTTGCTTTCCTAATAAATATATTTTAAAAACCTAGAGACACCTACTAAACACCTATTAAGCAATTGGTTTTGTTTTTAATTAAATAAACATTTATATTTTTCTTTTAGAGCTGGAGATCTCCTACGAAGCCAACCAGCGGGTTCTGGAGGAGAAAGCAGAAGAGCTGGCCGAGCTGGAGCGAACAGCCCGCCTCATCCTGGATGAGATCAGCCAAAAAGTGTCGCTTTACAGCAGCTGTCAGTGATCAAATCCTCACCAGCAGGGAAAGCTTAAGCCATGTCATCCTTTAAAGTTGCCAAAAACCATGAAAGTGTTGAAATAATTAAACCACAATAAGCCAGCATGACCTCAAAACTAACAATGTGTTGCGTTTGAAACACATTTGGTTACACGGGTAACCATTTTACTGAAAGCTTAATAAAGAATATATTTGACTTTATATGTACTTATGTGCCCAGGTATTTGTTTATAAATAGTACAGAATCCAATTTTTTAATAAAGGACATCACGAAAGCAATTCTACTAGTTTCTTTTGAGTGTTTAAAATACATTTAAAGGTTTTGCTGAGTAAAGAGGCATGAGGCCCTGAAAGTTAAATATAACTTTTATATATATAAAAAATATAAAATTTAAATATAAAATTTTAAAACTAATTAATAGATCAGTGACTTATTAAACCGGCCAGTCAGAAAAGAGGATTGTTTCCACAGAACTATACAGATAGACACTATTTTTACCCAAAAACATTTAATATACATCCAAAAGATAATTATCTTAATTGAGCTTTACTATGTCAACATAGCCATACATCACTAAAAATACATAGGCATGCTATGAAGTTTTATTATAGTACTTTACTAAGCTGAGTCCTTTCCTGCAGTCTATTTGCCACATCCTTGGGAGCCATTTTCCTTCACATCACGAAGATTTCCAATCATGAATACACAGCACAAAAAACCCTAAAGACAGAATGATTTACAACAGCAGAATCCGCCTCAGCTCATTGACTCAACAAAGAATCAAACCAAACCAGCAAATCTCAGGCCACACGCTTAACCCTTCAACAGCGTTAGCATCAAACCGCGTTAGCATAGCATCAAACCAGCAAAAACATGGCGGGTCAAACGGAAGCTTGTCTTAACTTACCTTTCACGGGCCGGGCGGATCCCCCAGGCAGCTTGAAGCGGTCCTCGGCTTCATTGTCTTTCACCCACGGTAACCGTTATCGATCAGCTGCATTTTCTTCCTCCTCAGATGTCAGGGAGCCAAACTAACAAACCGCCTTGGTCGCTCCTCCTCTACCTGTTTAAACATTCAAGATGGCTTCAATAACTTAACCAGGGACAAAACAAACAACTTTTAATAAAGTTTCCGAAAAATAACTTACCAAATAACCAATGCTGACATTTCAAACATGGCGCTCCCGCGGCCTACTCAGCAGCGCATCAGCAGGTCAAGTGCATGACGTCACTAGGCCTCGAGACGATTTCAGGCAGTTTGGAGTTATTTAGTGTCCAAGAGAACTATCTATAAACTGCTTATTATAATAAATACAATCAAATTTGAATAACCTTAAGATGTGAAATTAATTGTCTGATATTTTCTTTTATGATTTTCTGCTAGAAAGGAACATTTATTGGTTATTAAAGAAAATCATCACATGGAGATGCATCTTCTAAAGTACCAAAGTTCAACTTCAGGCAGGTTTTTTTGTTAATTTCAACATGGATTTTTATTGCAAATTTAATTCTTTACATTGATCTGAATACTAACCACAGAGTGAAGAAATAACAGACCCAAGAAAAAGCATGTAGAAAACATAAACTAGGGATCCCCACATAGATCCTTGAGGAACCCCCAAATTAAGAAAAGCAGAATAAAAAGAAAAATTTACTGCATGTCCTTTTCAAGCAGCAGAAGTTTCCAACAGTAAAATATAGGACAGACTGATATTTCTTTTTACCCTATAAAGTCAGGTATAAATTAATAAAAGGTGAAAAAGCACCGGCTTTTCTGAAGTTGACCGTTTCTTCTCACATCAGGAACTTTTGTAAACCTTTACAAAGTTTCATAATCATTTTCACAATACTGTTTAAAATAAAGCTTGTGATATGAAAATAAATTTAAATACAAATTTATTTAATCAGAAAATAAAAGTTATGAGTTAGGAGCGCCATCTTCTGGCCTTTGTCACAACATGCTGGTGTGTTTACAATCCTGACAAGCTTCCTTAAAGGGTTATAAATATTTATCAAATATAATCTCGTCACCAAAAAAAATAAAAACACCACAAACCATTTGTAAATAATTTATAATTTCCTATGTTGCATCATCAACTTTTATTCTTCTCTTGCTTCAGCCGGACAGATCCGGTTGTTGGTTCTCTTCTTTTGGATCTTTTCTGTACATTAGCATATATGCTGTCCCTCTAAAAACACACACAGAAACAAACTGATTTCAGAGGAACAGTAAAACTGAACTTCCCTTTTTCAGCACAATTTTTTTTTGAATCTGGCAAACAGCTCAATTGATTAAACACTGAATAAAGTTGTTAAGTAATAAAATATTCCATTTACAGCCAAAGGAACCCTTAAGTTTTCTGATTTAGGAATTGAAAGGAATAAACTGATTCTTTAGCCTAGCATGGCGGCTAAGATAACTTTCCCCATAAACAATAGCTGAGATGATAATAAAAACTTGAAAGACCTGCAACTGTTTTAGATGGCAGAAATAAAACATCTGAAAATGAATCAATTTGTTGTTCATGTTTAAGAACATGTACTAGCTGGTGCTAGCACTAGAGCAGTTAGCTGTCGCATGAAGTTAAAAAAAAGAAGGGCTTTTTAAAACTTAAATAGTTGGTAACATCAACAGTAATGTCATTATTTAAAGTAAACAACTTTAACTAGATTCCTATTGTTATTATTAGACAAGCATTAGCCTTGTAACAACGCTAGCTGGTTGTTACCAGCTAGCGTTGCGCAAGTCAGCAGGTCAAAAGGTTTTGCCAACTGAAGGACCGCTTAGAATCAGAATCACATAATTGAAAAATAAAAATTTTGCACTGACGAGGATTCATTTGGTTTGCACAGAAGTTACGTATTCTGTTTGTGAAATGTTTAATAACATTTTGATTGTTATAGACATGAGATTTCATGTTTATGTTTTTAGCATTGATTAAATCAGACATAAAATCAGACATAATTCTTCCCAAAAAATATAAATTGTAGGTGAGCATTCAGCACGATTCCATAAATTAGAAAATGACTAAAAAGCTCCTTTGTCAGCAGTTTCATAACCAAATGAAATACATTATATAGATTAGTTAAATTAATTCCCCTTTAACATATTTATATTTTGTAGCATGTTTATTACGTGCTAAAAGATTATTTTCGAAAAGTACCATTAATCTGACAAGCCTAATTATATCCTAATTTATTGAATAAGACTGTCTGGCATAACATGTAAGTTTTGGCTTCATTCTGAGCACTAAACAACAAAAGGTCTTCCAGTAACTGTGGGAACATCATCACCCTGCCAGCCCTACCAATTAACTTTATTCAGTAAAGAGAGTAAGATCCAATATTTTAAGATGTGTTCTTAAATAGAGAACAAAATACAAACAAAACTTTATGAGACAGTTACCTGTAGTGATCTCCTTCAGTTTTCTGCACATTTTCCCAAGAGGACTGCAAGTTATCAAGATAATAAGATATTGATTTAATCACAGAAATCTGAAATAACTTGTTTAAAGATTTACAACTGCAGCATACTGTATTATAAACATATATAATTATGTTAAACGTTATGAATTCAGAATTTTGTTAAACTGTTTATGCTCTATAACTTCAGCTTAAGGTAAAATTTTAATTTGTCAACATAAATTCAACACACATTTTTATTTAATATGATTTAATCATAAAAATAATTGCATCCCTGTTTATTTATTTTAAAAAGTCATATCACTTTTTTTGAAATGAGACAGATTTAAACATACTTGAGAAACACAGCTGTCATCTGCATAAAACCAGCGGTTGGTCATTCTGTGGCGGACATAAGCGGTGTAATGTCCAAACATTGCTTCGCCATGATGCACGACCACAGCATATAAAGTATACCTGCAGCCATTCTGCAAGAAAAAACAAAAGGTTTTAGTTTAAAAAAAAGCCCCATAATATCCAGATACTCAGCAGTAAAGTCAGGTACCTGGGTGAAGTCTGAAGAGAAAGCTTCTCTCTGTAACTCAGAGAAGTCGAATGTTTCTGGGAAAGTGACCCTACAGTTGAGTTTTCTAGTGAATCCACGTACATTTCTGAAGCGTTTCAATTGTATGCACAAGATTTGAGGCAGAGAGCAAAGCTTGACACCCTGAAAAGCAGATTTAAAGAAAGCACTTTAGTTTATCTGAAACAGAATTTGACATCAAGACAGCAAATTTTATCTAAAAACTAACACACATAAATCACTTAAACCTAAAGCTCACACAGCAAAAATACCTAAAAAATAACCAATTTATGTTTTTATCAATCTTTCTGATCAAAACCTCAAAAAGCCTCCTTGAAAAACAAAGGTAACTGCTAGTTTAATAATTGAAACACCAAACATGCATAGAAAACCATAACAGCTCCATATAACTGAAGCTAATATCTGCTAATATCGCTGCCCCAAAGGGTTCAGCGGCAAGGAAAATGGACCATGCTCCCTGATTGGCTGCCTTCTAAAAGTTTTCTGGTGAACTGATAAAAACTGAAACCCATCCTGACTTGTTTGGTTGGCGTCTTGGTTTCACACTGTGCACAAAAGCAGCAGTCAATTCCCCGCAGCTCCTGCGGCTCGAAGAAGGAGATCAAGCAGTTTTTCTGAAAAAGAAACAAAATAAACTGACATGAAGATAAGCAATAAACTGGGTGATAAATTCATTTAATGATTCTTTTTCTGTTCAAGACTTAATGTTTTGACAATCTGAATTATTTTCCACTAATGCTTTTCTTGTGTTTTAGTTCAGAGTGACATCAACAAGCTGTGGGCAGCCATCTTGTTTGACAAATGTGTTTTACTTCTATTTATTTGGATTTTGAATTCAACTCTACCAAAAAACATGTAAATGATAGAGGGACATTTTTGAGAAATGGCTCTGAAATTTTTGTCTTGAAATTAAAATTTTTATCTTTTGACTTTTTGATGGCCGTTTTTTTTTTTTTTGCTTCAATTTTTTGACTTTTAAAATAAACTTTGCTTTCAACATCAATCTCAAAATGTCTGAGTTTTATCAAGCAAACTTTAAAAATATACTTGTATTATTGTTGTCACTTTAGCTTATATGTACTAGCTAGCATTAGCTTAGCAATGAAGCTGGCTGCTGCCGTTTGAAGCTAGCTAGCTAGTTATACGAGAAATTCAGGACTTCCTTAAACTTGAGGTTGTTTATAATGAGTGTAATGTTTTATATGTTGAATTTTTTTTTTAGTATCGCCAAGCTTCAAAGAGCAACAAAAGAAACTCACCAGAGAGTTCCGCTCTTCCTGGATGTGTAGCGGCAGACCGAGCAGGTGACTGCTCTGCGTCTGCACGCTGCTGCACTGCAAACACTGCACCTGCGTTTCCACTGAAATCTTATACAAACTCTGGATTTCAAGAGCCTGGAAGAAGAAAAAAATAAGTAAATCCTGTCTAGATAAAGCACTAAATGATAAATCTGAGAATGAATTCCGACCAGAGTTCGGTCATCCATTTGCCGCTGAATGAAATCCAGAATGGAGAAGAAAACTTCGTCTGCGTCGTGCTGCACGCTCACTGCAAACAGAGGGGCGTTAAAATGTGATCAGAGTGAGACCTCTGCGGTGCAAAGATGGGTGTCTTACGCCGGATGCGGTTTCTGTCCAAGCATAGGAGAAAGTCCTGATGAGGAGCGGGATGAGGAAGATCCTCCTGCATCACCTTCAGGACTCGCTTTAGCTGAAAGGGAACATTATCTTCTGCTCTCAAACCGACGACGGGTTTCCACCTTAAAATGAAATAATAAAAACACGTTTGTGTTCCGTTTTTAGGCCCCGGACGCTCACAGGCTAACATTAGCATATTAGCTAATTTGCGCTGTTAATTACAGGCTAACATTAGCATATTAGCTCATTTATGCAGTTAATTCCAGGCTAACATTAGCATATTAGCTCATTTGTGCAGTTAATTACAGGCTAACATTAGCTTATGATAATAAGCTGAGGTTATTAGCTCCACACCTCATTTTTGCTGTTAATTAACTCACTTTTCTAACATGTCGGCCAGTTCCCATGAGGCGTTGAGCGTCTGCAGCAAAGAGTTGGCGCAGCAGCACATTTGGTAGTTAATGAGGCCTCTCATGTCTGGGAGAAACACAAGAACAATTAGTCAATTCAAATTTTCTTCTTGATTTCATTTTTACTTTTTAACTGCTAAAAGTCAAACTAGTGTTTTTAAAGATTTGATTTGATGTTGTGTATGACCACAATTAAGAAAATAATGTAAAGAAAGAAATGAGAATAGGACAAGAAGTAGGTAGAAAGAAAGGAAATTATGAAAGAATGATGGGAGGAAGGAAGGAAATAAAGAAAAATGATAAGGAAGGGAAGAAGATAAACAAAAGGAAGGACATGAGGAATGACGGAAAGAAAAGAGGGATTAAGGAAGGACACAGTGAAAGACAACATTTAGACAAGAGAGAAAACCGACTGAAATATTATTTTTCCTCCAATGTTTTGTTTTTTCATCCAAATCCAGAAGAAACAAACCCTGAAATCCCAGTCCAGATGCTCCAAACTGGGTCAGAACCAGCAGGTCAGCTCTGAAGAAAACCAGTGGCCTAGTCAAAGTCTGAGCTTAAATCTACTTGGACATGTTGTGGCTGTTTTTGCTGCCCTCTAATGTGCCTGAATAAAAACAATTCAGCAAATCGTAGCAGGTCAAAAATCCTCCACAGTTCAGATAATGATTCGATGTTTTTTCAAAGATCTGAAACTTTATCAAGTAGCAGCGAAATTATTGACATGTAAAAATATTTCAGGTAATTTAAATTCACGAGTTTTGACAAAAAAAAAACCAAACCGCATTTATTAAACTTAAGCTTAAAGAAAAGGTTTCTCCTGTGTTTACTTAAGTCCAATAACAAAGCTTCGCATTTCTGCCATCTTACCGAACTCTCTGCGACCCAGAAAGTAAAGAAATCCGGTTATCCGGGAGAAAGACATCAGAGCGGAACTGTATCTGCTCGGTTCGGTTCGGTTGGAGGTTCCGGACCAGAAAACCAGCACCAGTTTTTGTCTGATCAGCTGGGTTCTGTGTCGGTCCGTCAGCATCAGCTGCGGGACTTTCGTTCTTCTTCGCTTCCCTGAAAACGAAACCGAAACCTGCGCCGATCAGGCAAAACATTATGACCACAGGTCAAAATCAACACAGAAAGAGGATTTTATCAGGGACATAGTGGGGAAAAAGGAGTAAATGTTCACTAAAAAACTCTGAAATTTTGAAATTGATCTCAGGAATTTTCTAGAAAAACACTTAGAAATTTCTAAGTTTGATAAAATCAATGAAATTTGCAAGAGAAAACCTGATATTTTGAGGTCAAATCTAATTCTGAATTAATCCCAGTTTCTTTCAAAGCAATTTTTTGACTTTCAAAATTTTGAAACTCAAATGTAAAAGTTGTTTTTTCTAAGAAATTTATAAGATTAATAAATGTTTGTATTTTCTAGAAAATTGTAAAGTTTTCAAACTAAAACATTTTCATTTTTTCCAGAAAATTTCTGAGATTGCTCTCAAAAGCTCAAGATTCAAATCAGTACAAAGTACTTTACTAATCCTAAAGTGAAATTTAATATTATCCAAATTCCTTCCAAAACGTGTTGCATAAAGGATGTCCTGTAGCAGGATGTGTTCCAGTGGTTCTGAAGAATCTTCTGACTAAAGACGTTGATGATGATGAGAATGCTCAGGATTTCCATAACAAATATAGATGTTTAATTTACAGAAAAAATGCAACAAATAGTTCAATATTTTCTTAATTTAATCAGAAAATTAAATGAGTGTACAGTTTCCTCCTCTACACCAGAGGGCGACATGACGAAAACGTCGCTCTCCATGTCTGCTTGATCAGCTGAAGAAGTTTGAAAATCCACATGTAGGACGACGAGAAAGCTGCAGAGGAAACAAACTGTCAACATGATTATCTCCAATCGAAAGGGTTTAATGAAAACGTCAGCAGAATTTCCTCCCACCTGGGTCCAATTTGAAGAGAAGCATGTAGAGAAGAAGGGCGGCCAGGAAGAGTTTCTGCAGAAGGGATGAGTCGGATCCGGTCCCCAAGCATTTTCTGAAAATCGTCCTGAACACTTTACGGAGTATAGACCCTACAAAACATCCTCAGTCAGAACAGATGCTGTTGTTTCCATTTATTTTGCTTAATAAACATAATTCGAGTAAAATACTTTGATTTGAGTCCGGTTGTGATTCTCCATCTCCAGAATCTGGAGTTTCATCTGGATTGATCGGGTCTTCTTGATTCTGTCGACTTTTTTCTTCCACCACGTCCAGAGCTGTTTGCCGTTGCTCCTCTGTGAACGTGTTGCGTCCAAAGTCACCGCTGACGAGTTCCCGCGCCTCTTCGAAATGTCCGAGCGGCAGGAGGATGTGCAGCAGGTAGAGCTCCGCCACCAGCTGGAACCCGGCGGTCTGCACGTTCCGCGGGTTGCGCAGCCAATCCCGGGTCGCCTGCTGCATCACAGCAGGCTGCTTGACCTTGGAGTAGAGGAGGATGCTGGAAACACAGCGCAAAAAATCACAAATCACACAGAAAAATTACATTATTTTTATTTAAAAGCAATCTATGACAAGAATAAACTTGATTTCAATGGATGTACTTTGTACAACAGAATACATTTAGGGTTTAATATTTAAAGTTTCTTTGAACAATTTTTTTAGTTGAATTTTGTTTATTACATTTTATTTAAAAGTTAATATTAAAAAATGGCAGATGAGTAATAATAAATATGTTAATTGAAGTAAAACACACAGAAAGACTATCAGTTATCTAAAAATATTTTAATTTCGTTCTAACAGCTGTTTACAATCAAATTTGATTAAATCTTTTATTTTAAAAAATGCTTTAATAGTAATAAAAAACAAAAGGGAAAAAAATGTAATCCTAAAATTTATAAAAAAAATTAGCACAACACTCCTTTTTAAATAAAAAAACAGAAAAAATAATTCTAATAAAAACTAATCACCTTTTTAAGATATTTTCCACTTTTTAATTAAAAACAAAAAACAAACAAAAAACATAAAAATTGATGTTCCTTTTTATAATTTTAAAAAATGCTTTAAGTTTTTATTTTAAAAAATACACTTAGAGAAAGAAAATGTATAATATATAAATATTTAATTTTACAAAACAGAAAAATGTTTTGTGTTCTATTATTTTTGTATATAAAAATAACATGTAAAAATACATAAAGTTTAAAAATAATTAACAGTGCGCTTTTCAAATAAAAACACAAACAACATGGAAAACATAAAACAGTTCAGAATAATGTTATATAAATAATGAAATTTAAATCTTTACCAGATCTGCATGATCTTCGCAGGCACATTTTCCTGCTCCCCGTAGTGCTGCAGGACCCAGGAGGAAACCCCGCGCCACTGGTTGAGCTCAGCCAGCGCCTGGATCCCCAGGATGCAGAATCCGGTTTTTATCTCCTCGGACCTGCAGAGAAAACTCGCTGCTAACCCGAACAACACGCGCAGCAGCTGGGAAACGACACGACGGCTCACCTGTCTTCTGGCCCCATGCGCTCCAGGACCTCTAGACCTGCGTTACAGGCGTCAAAAGCCGCCTGGAAGTCGCGGTGGACCATCATGAGCTCTGCAGCGGACTCCATCATGTGGAAAAGCTTCGGGGAAGAGCAGGAGACCGGCGGAGGACTCCGGTCGAACCGATCACGGCTGGTACAAGCTTCGTCTGTGTCATGAACTGCAGAAGTTCGGTTCATAACTCCAGAACCAACCGCTAATCAGCACCGAATAAATAAAAGTATTTATTTTTATCTAACTTAACAGAGGAGTACTTTGCTCACTTGCATCCGTTTGTTGACAAATTGAAATGAGCGGAACTTCCGGGATTAACGACCAATCAACTGCCGCCGCCTTCAGGAGCTCTGACGCAGCCAATCACGTTCGAGCTTCTTTCCGCGCAGTTCCGTGTGTGAACAGAGCAACGTGTTTCTGTCACGGGGCGAACATTTAGAGCTGGAAACATAAAGTAACTGTAAGTAACCGCTCTTTTGGAAGATGCCCTACTAGTTTATGACTTCGACAGTTTATTTTGAAGCAATGAGACTTTTTAGAATAGTTTTCAAAACGTCCGGTTAGCTACAATGCTACATTAGCATCTAGCTGTTTTGAATACAACATGTACTTTTTTAACCGTTTATGTCGTTTATCTAATGGTTGCTTACTAATTTACCTCATTTCCAGTCCTCTTTTATCTCTGCGTGGTCATGTAGAGATGTTGGAGTCGGGGATATAATTATTATTGAACTGGTGGAAACTTCAGATTTCTTGTAAACCTTTAAGTTGAAACCTGATAGGGCCTCTAAAGCAGAAAATGTTGTATTATAAATACTTTGGCAGCACTCATTTTAATCAGTTTTGTGCAAAGTTTCTTGTAAATTGCTCCATTTGGATTTTTTTTGTCAAATACTTTTTTAATCCTGAAGGGAAATTAAATATTATCCGAGTTCCTTCAACGACTGTGTTACAGTGGTTGTGAAGAATCCTCTGACTGATGGGGATAATCAGGATTTCTGCAGCAAAAATAAATGTTTAATTTGAAAATTGAACAAATATTGAAATATTTTCTTGGTTTCATCAACCTAGATGAATATTATAAAACCCAGAGAAAATTAAATACATTTACATTTTCTTCCTTTACACCACAGAATGACATTTTTTCCATGAAAACAAATTATAATGTGAAAATATTTCAAATCAATATTAAGAAATAATTGACTTTCTTTTCTTATTTCAAGTGAACTAAGATATTTACATTTTTGCAGTATTGCCATAATTTTATTAATTCTACACTGTTTCTGAAAATGGCTGAAGAAGTAAATAATTTTTTCTCTTAGCTCATCCTGAAAATGGCCAAAAGTCTTCGTAGCAAATGGAAGCGGAAGATGCGGGCAGAGAAGAGGAAGAAAAATGCTCCGAAGGAGCTGGCTCGACTCAAACAGGCCCTGAGTCTGGATAAGAAAGGAGGAGTGGACATGGCCGACCTGCAGGACGTTGCCACCGTGATCCCAGCTGACAAGATAACGAAGCCGAGTGACGTTGAAATGGCAGAGCAGCAGCAGGAGGAGGACGACAGTGAGTCAAGACCTGTTAATCTGTTTTCAAACAAAGACTGACAGATCCTGTTTTTATTTTCAGTTCAAAATAATGACCAAACTTTCATTTTAAAGAAAAATCATTTGATGTTTTAGATCTATAATTTGATTTCTACAAAATAAAAATTAAAAAAATTAGTTAAGCTGTTTAAACAATGCTTAGCTTTTTGTTCAGTGTGTAAAAAATATATATTTTTAGTGATTTTAGTTTTTTAAAATGATTCTTTCAGCACAGTGGAGTATTTTCTGCTGCATTTCTTTTGTTTTTAGATGGGAAGATGGAGATGGACAGGAAGCGCAGCAAGGCGACTCTGCTGGACGAACATGGACAGTACCCGGTATGGATGAGCCAGCGGCAGGCCAAGAAGATGAAGGCCAAACGCGTGACCAAGCAAACAGGCAAAGTGAAGAAGAAGAAGGGAATCGCCTGGTGAAGCGAAGTGAGGCAGTTTGTTTGTTTCAGAGACTTGGGAAATTCTGCATCTGTTCTTACTGAACAGCAACTTTATGAGTTAACGTTTGTTGACAGAAGACTCATCAGTGGAAGATTGTTTGCTCCGTTTGTAGCATTGGAACTTTCTAAATATAGAAATCATCCGTCTAATGACAGAAATAAACGTTTCAAACCTTAAAAAATGCTTTATTTTCTTTAATTGAAGTTGAGAATCTGAATCCCGTTCAGATTCTCAATAAAAAGCATTAAAATGTTGCGTTATTAGAAAAAAAATGCTTGGATAAATAGAAGGATAAAGTAGTTAGAATTGATAAAAAGTTGGACTTTAAAGGGAAGCGTGTGCAAAAACCGCCTACAGCAGCTGGACGTAAGCGGCTGGGAAGAGACCGGTGCGACCGTGACACTGGCCCTTCCACCAGCCCTCGTCGATCATCTCTATGTTGGTGATGACATCATCAGGGTTGAAGGAGAGCTCGTCGTCCGCCTCTGGAAACACAGAACCGTGGGACTTTAATTTGTTGGAAATTATTCATTTGTTTAGTGTTTTACAGTTAGCTTCTGCTAATTCTTTAATATTTAGCAGAAGCTTCTTGCTGTTTTTTAAATTTTATTTGTTTTGTGCGACCGTTTGCTAACTTTTTTAAGTGTTTAGCAGTTGTATAATAACTGCTAACTGCTCTAAATAAGAGCAAAGACTCTTATTTAGCAAATTAGCAGAAAGCTGTTGCTAAAAACTACTGCCAGTTACACTGCAAACATATTCTCCATTACAACCAGGGTGGCCATCTTGAAAAATCTAAACATCAGTAATTATGATTTCTATAAGTTCAATCATGTGATTTGACATCAAAAGTATTCGTTTGTGATAAATATTGGCAGATGTAGTGAAGAAATAACACTTCCTTGACCTGCTTGAATTATTTTCAAAATAGTAAATGCCAAGTTAGGTTCTTATATCTGCATGTGAAAAAAGGAGGAGGACTAAGACTACCTCCATATTCCCCTCAGTGATCATCCCAACCTAAACGGCTCACATTAATCATTAAAAGCCCAAATCTATGTCTACGTTTCAGTTTGTGTGCTAAAGGTCAGTGGAGGTCTCACCTCCTTCATAGTCGTAAATTGCCACTGCCCTCTGGCCGGCCGACACGTCCTCATAGACGCCGCCGTCTTCTGTGAGCAGAAATTATGTTTCAATGAGAAAATCTGAACGAGACGTTCTTCTCGCAGAGCTTTGCTCGGAGGCACACCTTCTGGTTCAGGAACAGGTGGTTTGTCAAGTTCATCGTAATCTCCGCCATCCTCCTCTTCGTCCACGGCGGCGGTCCGTGGCGGCAGAGGGGGGTTCGCCGGTTCCAGGAGATCATCTGAGCGTGGAGGCAAGTCTGGAGGCTCTTCATATAATTCGTCCCCCTGAAGGTGAAAACGAGACGTTAGGCTGCCTTATGACTTTAGAAACCCCTGAATGTGAGTTTACCTCCGGTTCTGGTTCTGGTTCAGGTTCAGGCGTTTCTGGGACCTCCGGGACATTTCGGTGGGTTTCTACAGGCGGCATGTGGTACGCCGGTTCCTCCTGAGCAGGAGGAGGTTGGACTTCCTGTTTCTGACTTTCCTCTTCCTTAAAGAAACAGACCGATTATTGAAAGTGATTCCAGTGGCCAACTTTCATAAAAATACAAGATGGCGGCCCTTTTTCCCCAAGTGCCAATATTTATCGCAGATGAATATTTTTTATGTCAAATTACAAATAACTGAACCCATAGAAATCATATTTACTGGCAATGTTTTGATTTTTGAAGATGTCTACCATGGTTGTCATGGAGATTTAGTTTTTACACTAATATCACCAGTTAGACGGGTTTGGTGTCCAATCAGATTCTACACATTAGAACCACAGAAATCATATAAACTCTTGATCCTGTGCTTTCTTTTTCTGGTGGACATTTTTCAAAATGGCCGCCATGCTTGTAATATATGTATGTTAAAATCAGCAGTAGTTAACAACAATCTTAACAAAAATGTTAAATTCACTATCCACTTATTCAATAAATCTTACATCGGCTAACGCTAAACAATTAGCGGAAGCTGAAGCTAAGAATAAACAAAAAAATAACAGAAGCTAATGCTAAACACAATAAAATTAGTGGAAGCTAATGCTAAACATACCTGAGTAAAGTTTCCTTCCACCCATTCTTTCTTCAAAATATAACAAAACTGGTGTCAAACGTTTGTGCAGCAACAATTTTGTTGGTGTTGCCATAATCTCAAAGCTATTAATAGAAAAGTTTGGTTTAATTGAAGAAATTGTCAGTAGAGGAAGTTGTTACTATTTATCTTTAAACTTTCAGGGCTACATTAAAAGCAAAAGCACCACATAATGAAAAAGTTATCAACACACCCAACATAAATGAAGAAGAGTTGATTGAGACCATTTTAGTTCGATCGGCCATCTTGCCTACCTGCTGCCTGCGTTTGGCTTCCTCTCTCTCTCTGCTCTCTCTGGCTTGTCTTCTTGCTCTCTCTTCTTCTACTTTCTTCCTGTTTTCTTCATCTGAAGCCTTCGCCATGTTCTCGAAGCGAGCCTTCAGTTTCCCAGCGCCTGCGCTCGCTGCAGAAATCCAACAGTAAATTTAACTTACAGCACAACATCACCAATAATTACTGCTGCATTTAAAACGATGAACTCACAAGCCTCTTTAGGTTGAGTCTTTTCATAAGCGGAAGTTGGGGAGTCCATGTCTGAAAATCCCGCTGCACTCTGGAGGATCATAACAGTCAGATTAGATTTGCTTTTAAAGAATTGGGTTTAAATATTTGACAATGTGAATAGAAATACATTTGAGTTGTGGGTTTTCATAATATGTGACCCAAAATCATATAAATTACAACAAATTGTGCCTGAAAAGTTTTACAACATGTGTAATAAATCTATGTCAAAAGAGAAAAGTTCAAAATGGTGGCAGCAGCAGCGTCATGTTGTGGAGTTTGGATCTATGAAGTCCTGTTGTCTTCCTGATATCTTGGGTGATTTATTTTGATTGCACAAAGCAGCAATGCATTTTAGGTGTTACCTCCATTTAACTTTTTTTTTTTAATTATCCAATCAGAAGCTTGTAAAACCATGACATCATCATCTGGACTTCATTTACCTTCTAAATTTGAACAAAATTATTTTTAAAAGGCTGCGTGTCTTTCTATACTGCATTTAAAACTTTATCTAATCTTTAATTGTGAGTTTTAATGATACAATTGATAATTTTATTTCAGATTAATTGATCCTTGACACGAACCTTATCCATTCGGTCTGTCTGAACGCCATAGCGACCGCCGAAACCTGCAGAGTAATCTAAACAGAAGAACATTTCTTCAGATTATTAAGATGAAGACTTCAGGTTTTTAAGGGATGAACTCCATTTTGACTTTTCGCACCTTTCTGGGACTGATGTTTATCCGTTTCTCCTTTGTAGTCGTATCCCAGCGCTGCTTTGTCCACCTTCTCCTTCTCCACGCCGTACTTCCCACCAAACCCTTTGGCGTAATCTAAATGTGAAGCACAAAGTGAAGAGAATATGCTGGTTCGGTCTCAGCTAGCATGTGATGCTAACTTTGAGTTTATTCACCTTTCTGCGACTGATGCTTCTCGGTTTCTCCTTTATAGTCGTAACCCATGGCGGCTTTATCCACCTTCTCCTTCTCCACGCCGTACTTCCCTCCAAAACCTTTGGCGTAGTCTGAGGAAGTCACAGATTAAACCCAAAAGTTATTTTGACGGTTGATTGTAACAACGGCAGACAAAAGCAGGACAACAGTACTGTTTTTAGAAGCTTATGTCATTTCCATAGACAAGGTTTTTATTTATAACTTTTGTAAAAAGTACATTTGTTTTATATATTTATTTAATTTCACATAAGTAGTGAAAAAACCTCAGCAAGATTTCGAGCTCCATTTTCTACCAGCTTGTTTAGCGCGGTCATCGTTGCTAGGCAAACAGGTTGATGGAATCGTGTTGCGTTCCAGTTGCCTCGGAAATCGGAGCGCTTTTTTTAAACATGTCGTAACTGAGAGAATCCGGACTTTCTCTCTCTTCTCTGGTGGAAAACCGACTTCAGGAGGAGTTTCAGTTCATCTTTCCAACAACAAATCTGAATGCTGGCTAATTTTACCGTTCACTCCCGGTCTTCGTGATCGACGACGCCACAAAATATTTTTATTCTTTCTTGTTTAGCATCGTCTGTAAACTTGACCTAAATTTTTGAGATGCATGTTTTATTTTTGAGTCTTTGCGATTAAATTTTTTCTCATGTCGAATAGTGAAAATCCACAATAATCCAAATGCTAGCTTTTAAAACGTGCTAAAGCTGCACATTTAAATGAATCATCCCACCTTTTAATGGTGCAAATAAATCACTAGAAGTCCAGAATCAACCTGACCACCCTGCTGATTAAGACCAGACATCTGCTTGGACCCCGATCGGTCCCATAATCGCAACCAAACAAATAAACCCACCTTTCTGTGACTGATGCTTCTCTGTTTCTGCTTTATAGTCGTAACCCAAAGCCGCCTTGTCCACTCTTTCCTTATCAACTCCGTACTTCCCTCCAAAACCCTTTGAGTGATCTAAAGTGGAGAATTAAAAAATTAAACCTGGAGCTTGGAGAGCTGAAACAAGCGAGTATTTGTCTGACCAACCTTTCTGAGAGGCGTGTTGCTGCACCTCTCCTTTGTATTCGAAGCCCATGGCAGACTGCACAGAATGAAGAGGCACTTTTACCACAAAAATGTTGATAAAATTACAAGAAAAAAGTCATTTCAATGAGGAAAAAGTTTCAAAAAAGTTATGACATGACCAGTTCAGTTTGTGTAGTTGTTCTTTTTTCACAATAGAGTTTGCTCAATCATTTCAAAGAGCTGCTATTGATAATAAATCAATGCTGATGTGTTAAAAATGAAGTATTATATAGAAGTTAAAAAATAATAAAGATATTTTAGAATATGATCATTACTATAGGTCATCTATAGATAATATTCATATAATTTATTACACTTGGATTATTAATTCTCCCAATATTAAGACTTTGTTCTACTTAAATTATGAGTTTATTCTTCTGATTAAATAAATATTGCTCTAATGTTCCATTGTAATTCATTTGAATTCAAAGTAATAAATAGAAGCTGTAAAACAAGAAGACTCATGTCTGAAACCCAATGAGCTCAATGGTGAAAACAAATCCAGACTTTCCAAAAAATTAATCTCCAAAAACCACAAATTAAATTAATCAATATTTTGATTAGTCGCCCAGCCCTGACTGTCCAGAGGGAAACATTTTGTTTTCTGACCTTGTCAACACGGTCTTTCTGAACACCAAACTTCCCACCGAATCCCTTCGCCATGTCCTTCTGGGAGGAGTGCTGCTCCACCTGCGCCACGTAGTCGTGACCCACAGCCGCCTGGACAGAAGACGAAGGTCAGACAGCGGGACAGGGGCGGAGAGTGAGGGACCAGAAGGTAAACAAAACCTGTCAACCTTGTCCATCCTGTCGTTCTCCACACCGAACTTGCCTCCATATCCATACGACGCTTTGGGAGTTTGCTCCTTCTGCTTCACTTGCTCGTGTTCCTGAGCGACCCGGTTTCTGAGCTCGGCGACGCTGCGGGAACCAAAGACATGGAAACTGAAATGGCTTCCAGAAGGAAAAAACTATTCACACTTTGGAACGTTACAACCACACCTTCAATGGGTTCTGAAAGGCCTATAGGCGATAGAAGACATATAATCATTCTCCGATAATGAGATTTTGGCTTATTTTGAGGTCCAACAGTAACAGCAAAAGCAGAACCTCTACCCAGCTGACGGTAACGGGGCAGAACTCTACTGGGGTTGCTAGGTAACGGGGCAGAACTCTACTGGGGTTGCTTGGTAACGGGGCAGAACTCTACTGGGGTTGCTAGGTACCGGGGCAGAACTCTACTGGGGTTGCTAGGTACCGGGGCAGAACTCTACTGGGGTTGCTAGGTACCGGGGCAGAACTCTACTGGGGTTGCTAGGTACCGGGGCAGAACTCTACTGGGGTTGCTAGGTACCGGGGCAGAACTCTACTGGGGTTGCTAGGTACCGGGGGACTACTTGCCTGGAGGTTCTTGAAATGGCTCATTGTTAAAACACCAAAAAAAAAAAAAAAAACTTATTTAAGAACTTCTGTTTTTAGAAGCAGTAGAAACCCAAATGGAAATATAAAAATGTAAATATTGCTCAATAGTTCCTCATTAAGGTGTTTTGTTGGGATTTCACTTGACCAATCAGAGCAAAGTAGGGAGTAATTTTAAAGAGGAAGGAAACGGATAAATATGAGAAGCATCTGCCATCTATAAATCAAAGTAAAATACATGAACAATGTTTAAAAAAAACTATTGATTTCCATTATAGTGCACGGCTTTCAGCAGATTGAGCTGTTTATAAAGTCTATTTTGATAAAATTTTGTAGGTTACAAATGTTTTCTTGAAAATGTGGAAAATCTACTAAAACAAACAAAACATTAAGAAAGAAAACAAGGGTTTAAAGTAGAAATAGTTCTGAAGGTGAGGTTAAAAATTACCAAAAATAATCAGGAGGTCAGAAGTTTGTAAATATTGGTAATTAGAATTAGACAATTGGTGCATCTTTGATTATTTCCATCAGAAGTGATTTTAAACATTATTAATATGCGGTTTAATGAGGATAAACTGGTTTAATGCTCTTTCCAGCCCTCTGTCTCATCTGTCATTACCCATATTTGGAGCGACTTGCTGTCTGACAACACACTCTCACTTCCTCTTCCTGTTTTAATGCAACTCCCACTAAGACCTGCATTTACCCTCCTCATAATTTCCACCAAAGATAAAAATATCTTCACCTGATGTGCTCTTTGCGCCCGGAGCCCTCAATACTTTTGGCCCCCCACCTCTGCTCCTGCTCCGACACGTCATTCTGAAACACATTTAAAACAACATTTACAGAGAAATAGCCTTTTATTTTTTTATTTTTTTACTCCAGGAAGTATCCAGTACCTCAAAGTCAGGGTCTGTCTCCCAGTCGTCCCCCTCTGCAGCCACCTTGACATTCACATCGTGGCCCACCACTGACTTCCACATCTGGGGGAAGGAAACACAAACATCAACATTCAGAGCTCAGATCAAAGCTGCTGTTTCTGTGCATGAATCTTATTTGTGGAAGTTTTTATGCAGAGCAGAAATAGAGCAAAGAGCAACCACTAAGTCCCAAAAAGGAAGTTGAAGCTTCAACTTCACCATTACTGTGCAGACTTATTGGATTCTTCACTGAAAGTCCAAACAAACAGAACAATTTTGATATTATAAGCTGTTATTATGACATACAAATTCTGATCATTATGACAAACTCAAGCTTATGTTCATTCATTCTCATAAATTTGTCATATTTACACGATTAACCTTTACTTTACATGTTTCATGACACCTCTGGGGCTATTTTATCATATGTAAGCAACATTTAAGATCTAAATTGTTGCATTATTGAGTAGTATTAACGGTGTACTGGCTTATGATAGAGCTACTTCCTTAATTAGGGCGGAAACATTTAGGATTTTTGAAAGAAATGACTGCAAATTAAGTCAGTTTGTGCAGAATAGATAAAAAAATGTGACTTTACCTTTTAGTTACTGCGCAGTTTTGATGCGTTGAGGCGGATTTTGCAACAGCAAAGTTTTCCTGAGTCTCCACAGGTTGAGACGAGACGGTCTGACGGGCGACACGTGAACGCGGATCCAGCAAACGAGAACGCGCAATGGTGCAAATAAACAAAACAAATCAATCTAAATATTTACGTTTTCATATCTTTGACAATAAATATTTGCTGTTTGTTCAGTAGTTGGCATTAATTTACTTTTGGAGCACGTTTTTTTTAAAAATATATATGGTGCATTCAAACACCCTCGGAAATTTTAATAGTCCAACAGAACTGAAACCAAGGCAGGTTGTGATTTATATTGTAGTAATGCAACTACACCACTAGGGGACACTAGAGTATCGCAAGTCTTTTTAAAACGGTCCACCATGTAGTTTTTATTTCCATAAGAAAAAACCCAACAAAACTTCACTTCCACTTAAAAACACCCTTTATTAAAAGTTTCGAACACAAACTTGTGTCATCATCAGTAACAACCTGATCGTTTTCCTCCAGCCATGGAGAAAAACGATTGTAGTGTTTCACACACACCGGTACCCACTGTAAAAACCGTCCGAACCTCAGCTTCATTTGTCGGTTAATAATTTCAAAAAGATGGTGATTAGATTTTCTGAGTCACGATGATCCCAACGAGGACGTAAACAAAAACCTACCGAGAAAATTAACTTTAGATTGATCCAAACCACAAAAAGTTTTAATTACATTATATATTTCCCATATACAGCCCTTTGGACAGGTATTTACAAGAAGAAATAACACAGAAGGATGTGACAGCAGAATTAGCAGCCCAGAGTTATGAGACAGGAATGATATATATATGGATTTAACCTATATTTCATAACATTAAATCTAAGTCAATGGAGAAATCGTTCAAATAATGCGTCATCCTTCATTGGTTGGAATGCAGCAACATCAAAATGGACATAAAGGGAAACAGGTCTCTAAAGGAACAGTGAAGAACAGATTAAAAACTGCATAATTACTGTAAAGAGAGGCGACCCGGGAGATATGTAGAACCAGAAATGGTACCGTTTGCCAAGGAAGTTAGAAGGAGATAAATATCCCATCATAAGCCCAACTTGTTTCCCCAAAACAACCGTTAATCTCTCAGATAGCTTAGCATAGGTACTTTAGCTACTTTTCAAGGCAAATTTGACTCTCACAGGATTTTAGTTCCAGTGTTTGGTGCTTTAAAGTATTCACGTCTCTTGAATTATTTCGCATCAGTTGTGAAGCTGAAGAAACTTTGTGCATAGTTTTCCATTTGTTTTCATGAATGAAGAGCCGAGCGTAAGGGGGACTATTAGTTCAAATCAATCCCCCATGTAAGGAACCAGGCATGATTTTTCATCCACCTCACAATTACGTTCTGCTTCATGTTGGCCTCTACCTTAAGATCCCAATACACAGAATTTTGTGGATTTTCAGAACTTTTTCCTGTAACTGGAAAGACTCAGAGCTCAAATCTACAAGGCACATGACGTACAACACTTCCAAAATACTTGGTGGCGTCTTTTCTTCCATCCATCGTCTCTTCTTTCAACTCATCAGACCTGGAAGGGAAACCCAGGAAACCCTCACACTGGGGGATCTCCATCAGATGGCTGAACTACCTTCCCCAGTCCCTTTCGATGTGAAGGAGCAGTGGCTCAGATCTTCCAAAGAAGCTAATTTCTTTTCTCCATAATAATAATTGAAGATTGCATTTGTTTATTTTACTAAGTAATATTAAGATATTGTCCCTTTGCATCCGTTTTGAAGCAAAGTCTCCCACTTGTAGGTGACTTGAGGTCACCTATGACCAAAACGTTGAAACAAACGCCCCCTGAAGTGAATGTATATACTTTGGCTAAACGATTAAAGTGCACCGTTTGTACAGAACATCCTTCGGACCCTTCGTTAAATTACTATATATATATAACACTAAGAATTAAAACCAACACAGTTCTATTTTCTTGGACCTTCTCTCGTGTTATTTGGAACGGTTTTTCAGAGGTACCCGCCCAGGCAGAGGAGCAGCAGCACGTGCACAGTGAGCAGGTAGAGGCCGAGCAGCAGAGGGGTTCGCTGACGGGAGCAGAACGCCACGCGGAGCATCCGCAGCAAGCTGGGGCCTCCTCTGCGGGTCTGCGAGAGCAAAACACAACGTTAGGATCATGGACGGTTACTGTCGCAGCTGTTAAGGTGACGGACGAGCCTAACCCGGGTGACGGCGCCTTCTGGCGGCTCGATAAACACAGCCGTCTCAGAGAGGTCCCCTTCGTTTGCAGAGAGCCATGACGCCTGGGTGTGACTGATGCAGACAACAAAAACATCAGCTGATTCGTCAACTATGGATTCAAAATATAATATTGTGAACAATCCACAAACACGAGGCAGAAAATTGAGTCATGAACCAGTGATGAGGTTAAAGATAAAAATATTTTAGGTTAAGATGAATAAAACAGAGTGTCGGTAAGTTATATTAAAGGTAACATGAAGGACAACTCCACATTTCTGTAAAGTGCTCTATAAATCAATAAATAATTTTCAGGCACAATTTGCTGTTTTTTTTTCTTCCATAAACTGAATTAATATGAAGCAAAACTGTAGCTTAAAGACTCACTTTATTACATCCATTCTTATGATCCTTATGATTTCTTTATTCTGAATTTTTTCTACATTTTGTCCCATTTTTATATTATAATTTTTTTACTTTGAAATTTTACCTGATTTTTACATCATAATTTTCAAAATTCAATAAAAAAATAATTGATTTTCTATTTTATTGTCTTAATTTAACTTATTATTTTTCTGAATCATGTCATGTTAGCTCCCTCAAGGAAATTTAAATATGTTTTTAAAATATATATTTTTTATTAATATATTTGTGCATTTACTACTTTTATTGCTACTACTCCTGCATTTTAATATTTATTTTAGGACTTTATTTTTATTATTTAGGTTTTATTAGTCATTAATGGATTAAAAAATCATTTAACATTATATATGGTATTTTGTTGTTCATTTTGTTTATTTATGAAAAATGTGTTTACCATATAATAGTATTTTGTATTATTTTATTACATGAATTAAATATGAGTCAAATTTTAATTTTAGTTAAAAACTGTTTTAATTTTTTATTACTTTCTGTAGTTTTGTCACAGCCCAGGAGGATTTTTTTGTTTTTTAAAGTTTGTACCGTTTGAGGAGATCTTGTGTCGCCATCAGCTGCTCCTCAACCGCCAGCCGCTGCCGAGTCTCTTCTTCTAGTCTGACGTACAGAAAACAAAAATCAGCATCTACTGGGTCATTTCCTGGACGAAGCGTTCGATAAAAACCTCTGCTGAAGCTCCAGGAGTTCTGCTTTGGAGGATCGGCCGTCGGTCAGGCTGCTTCGCTCCTGCGGCGCTCCAGGTGGGTCGTCTCCTTCTTCTGTGCTCTGCAGGGATTTACACATAAATGAATTAAAAATCAAAAACTCTTTGCTAAATTACATATTTTCATCTGCTTACCTGTCTCTGTAGCTGTTCTCGTTTGAGTTTGGGCTTCTGGATTCGAGCCTCCTCCAACATGGCAGCCAGCTGCCGCAGCTGTTGGTCTTTCTCTGAGAGCGTGGCGAGCGTCTGCTGCTTCAGCTGCTCCGCCTGAGCCAGCCAGTCCATCCGCTCCAGCCTGAAAGTCAGAAAAAGAAAAGTCAATTTCACCACTTAAATTTAACAAAGCAGAAAGATCTTCAACGGCGTGTTAAAAGGAAATGATAAAAATAAAAAGAGTAAATTTCCACCCCAAAACTCAGAAATTTCCTTGTTTTGTCTAGAAAGTTTCTGAGATCCAAAAATGTCTTAGAAAATAAAATTAGCAAATTCCAAAAATCTAAAATTTGCACAAAAAAAAACTCCCCTTAATTTTTTTAAATCAGAAAAACCTCAGAAAAACACAAATTTTGAGATTAATCTAAGAATTTCTCTAAAAAAAAAAAAAACATCCAAACTTCAAAAATATTAAATTTGCAAGAAAAGAAGCTTTCAAATTTTTAGATTAATCTCAGAAATTTTCTAGAAAACAACTTGGAAATTTCTGAGCTCCAAGAGTTAAAACAATTTGAGAAAAATCTGAGATAAAGTTCAGGAATTTTCAAGAAGTTTCTATAAAGTTAAACATGTCCGACTTTTGAAACTCATAAATTTCCGTATTTCTGAAATACTTATTTGATTTTAATTAGAAAAAGTTGAGCTTTGCAATGGTTGATGTTAGAAGTATTTCCAGATGCATATTTTGTGAGAATAAATTGCTTTATTCTCACAATTTTTAGATTTTACTCCCAATTTCATTTTCTCACATGGCCTTAGTTGGTAGTTGTAAAAAAAAAAAAAAAAATGGCTGTCATAATAATCGATCAGTAAAATAATTATTAGATACACTCGATGGAAACAAAGGAAAGCGGCGATAAAATTCTAGTATAAAATGAAAGAAACTTTCAGTTTAATCTCAGAAATTTTCTATAAAAACTACTAAAATTTTAAGATTTCTTTTGTAGAAAATTTCTCAGATTACTCCTTTTTCTATTTGGGGGAGAAGTTAAACCTGAGGGATTCTGTTTCCTGCTTGCTTCTCTCCGCCGCGCTCTCCAGCCGCGTCACGGCCTCCAGTATTTCCTCGTTCCTCTTCTTCTCCTCTAAAAGCTCCTGACTGACTTTAATGAGCTCTCCGGCTCCCAGCCGAGCCAGGTCCGACTTCTGCTTCTTCAGCTCAGCCGTCTGCGTGTTCAGCTGCTCCAGCTGCTCATAAAGAGAACAGAAACGATTAATCATGACTAATCGATTACTGAAATAATCGTCAACTAGTAGTCGATTAATCGTTATTGAGAAAGTCAAAGTGATATGAGAGCAAAGTTAATTTTAACAATAAAGTTACAATATTATGAGAATAAAATCAAAATGACAATAAAGTCGTAGTAAAAGAAAAAAAGTCATATTTGAATACAGTCCAAATATTATAAGAAGTTGTAATAACATGAGAATAAACAATATTTTGAGATAAAGTTCTTGTAATTATAAATTTTTTATCTTAGTGTGGCACTAGTACTCATTCGTAAAAAAACAACAGGCTGAAGTGGTTCAATTAAAATCTGGACAGAAAAAAACTGGAATATTCTGCAATCATCAGGATAATCAATAGATTAATCACAATCGCTAGCAGCGTCGCTAAAATGGAGCGAAGTGTTGATAAAAGGCTCATTTCATGAAGCGAAGCAGCAGATTTCAGCTCACCAGTCTCTCCCTGTCGTTCTGCAGGGCCTGCAGGGCGTTCTTCAGGCCCCATACCTCTCCAGCCGACCCTCCCCCGCTGCTCTGTGCCGCTCTGCTCCTCTCCTCCCGCTCCCTGACCTTCTGCGCCGCCTCCTCTCTGGCCTCCTGCAGCGCCGCCACGGCGTCGGCGAGCTGCTGGTTCTGCTGCCTCAGCTGCTTGGTGGTGTCTGTCTCCTCCAGCAGCCGCTGCTCCACGATCAGCAGGTCGCGGGCCAGCTCCGCCACCCTCTCCTGGGCGCTCTCCGACTCGGTGCGCATCACGCCGCCCTCCCAGCGCAGCTCCGCCAGCTCCCTGCTCTCTGCGGCGAGCCGCTCCTCCAGGGCCTCGGCTCGGCCGCGCTCCGCCTGCAGCTGCTCCCTCAGCTTCTCCACCTCCGCTCCAGGTGCGTCCATCTCTTGCGAGGCTCGACTAAGAGTCTCCATCTCCACTTTCTGCGTCTCTTCTTTGGTTTTGCTCCTCAGCTGAGCCTCCAGCTCCTCGCGCTCCCGCTGTAAGGTGAAGATCTGCTCCCTGTGAGCTGCCAGAAGCTGTTTGTGTTGGGAGTCCTTCATGCTCAACACTTGGGTGAGTTCGTGTCGGTATCCGTGGAGCTGAGCAGACAGCTTGGCCTGTTCGGCGTGCATGTCGTCTCTCTGGACCAGCAGAGAGCGAAGCTCCTCTTTCAGGCTGTTGTTCTCCGCTGCCGCCTCCTGGATCAGACCGTCCTTCTCCATCATCACCTGCAAGACGACGCACAGGGAAAAACAGGTTTAACCTTTAATTGACCTGTGATTAGGGCTGGTAAAAATCCTTATTATCCATTTGCATTATATTACTCAAAACAATAAAATATCATTTACTGCAATAATTAATTATCATCCAGCAAAAATATTTTATTGTAACAGACCTACATACAATTATCAATTCATGGTTTACTAGATTAAAGTGATTTTTAATTGATTAATAACATCTGTTAAATCTTTTTTTAGTGTTGTAGTTTGGCTGCCATCCAGCAGAGGGCGCCGCTGGTCATCCTTAAGCGCAGCCAGTTGATACAGAAACAAAGATGGCAGAACCACACCGGAATGGGAAAAGAAATGGTTCAAATGTTTCTTTTGAAAGTTCCAGTCTGGTGTTAGCACCAGTCTGTTTGCACACCAATCAGTCTGGTGTGCCACAAAGGTGAGATTATAACATGATGTGGAAAAAAGCATCGTCTCAATAAGCAAGATTGATTTTACTTGGCGAATTAGGGCCACTGTAGTAAATTTCTTCAAAAAAACGTAAAAGTTTTGAGATTTATTTTAGAAATTTCTGAGTTTTGACTTGAAATTTGGAAATATCGAAGTTTTTTTTTCAAGAAAAATCTTATTTTTTTGTCAAATATGTCTACTGATATCTCATCCTTGCTCCATGTCTTTGAGGTTAAAAAGTCTCCTTACCATCTTCAACAAATCAGATTAAGTATATTTGAATTTAACTGAATTTTTATCTCCTGTAACAGATTCATCTGGAAAGCTTTCGTCACTAAGTGCTGTGAAGATCAAACTTCACCTGCAGGTGTTTCTCCTCCAGCTGTTTGTACGAGCTGAGCACTCGGTCTCTGTCGTCCTGCAGGGACCCCATGGCCTTGGTGAAGGAGTCCAGTCTGGCTTTCCGGTTGCTGCTCTCCTCCTGTGCTTCCCGTAGTTTTCCTTCCAGATCCCTCACTTCTCCTCTTCTCTGCTCCAGCTCCCTTTCAGCATCTTGTGCCCGGTTCTCAGCCTCTTTCCGTGCCTCCTCTGCTGCCTTTTGAAGAAAATTATGTGCAGAAACAAAATATTAAATTTTTTTTCACCAATGCGCTCCTTTGGTTTCTATAGTTCAGAGTGATGTCATCGCCCAGGGCGGCCATCTTTAAACTTTCAATTCAGGCCAACTCTAAGAACGAATGTTAGTTAATTAAACAGACAATAATGTAACAAAGACTATTATTAATTTAGTAATCGATTAATCGTTAGAATGTACAGACCATTTGCTGAAAAACCCCCAACAATACATATAATTGTCAATAGATTAATCAATAATTAAAATAATTGTTAGATGCACCCTGAGACAACTTGTCTAAATATTTTGTCGTACAACTCAGAAAAGATAATTGAAATAAAAGAATATATTTTTTAAAAACTGGCGGTCATTTGTAATTTCGTTTTAGGAAAAAAATCCAAAAACCAGATTAAAATTTTAAATCTGGACTAGGATGAAATTAATCCCTAGAGAGAAATTTATGAGAGAAAGCATCTGTAGTTCCCATTTCTTACCAGTTGGTGTCAGTAATGCTACCTGTATTTGTTTACCTGTGCAACAGCGAGTTCCTTCTCCCCCAGCAGCTCCACCTCCCTCCTCTCCTTCTCGTTTAGCTCCGTCTGTAAATTCTCCGTCAGAACCTTGGAGGAACGCAGGTCCGTCTCCAGCTGCTCCACGTTCAGACACAGACGCCTCTCCTCGGCCTCCCTCGCCCTCAGCTCGGTTCTGGCCCGATCCACCTCGTCCGTCTGTCTGCCGACTGCCTCCTCCAGAGCCCGGACCCTCTGACCCAGACTCTTCAGCTCGGTTTTGAGGACGCTGACTTCGTTCTGAGCAGATTCTAACTCGGATGCGGTTTCCTCCAGCTTCGATCTTTCCTGATCAAGAGCGGCTTGGTGCTCCACGACTTTCTTTTGCTCTTCTTCCAATCTCAGCTGCCAGTCTTTCTCTGCTCTCTGTAACCTAAAACGACAAATATGTTTAGTTCATGGCTGAAATTTAATGCTGTATTGTCAGAAACAAAAATTAAAGACGTCCCTCCTGTGACGTCACCTTTCTGGGAACTTTGTAGCTGACAGCCATCTTGGTTGCATCAACAGATATTGATGCAACCAGAAATTTATATTTAAATTTAGCAAAAACAAATTTAAAAGATATACCTGTTGACCGACTGCTCCAACTCCTCTTTCAGCGCCGTCTCTTTCTGAAGTTGATCTGCGAGCTCCTTGGCGCGTGTTTCAGCCTCACGGACTTCAGCCTCCTTCCCCTGCAGAGCGCTGTTGAAACGCGTCTCCCACTGCCGGGCTTCATCCAGAACTCTGTCCCTGTCGTCCTGCAGGGAGGACATGCTGCGAGAGAAGGCGGCTAACCTGGCCAGAGTCTCGTCCAGACGGGCCTGGATCTCCTGGGCTCGCCTCTCTGCTGCCTCTGCCACCTCTCTGGCTTCCAAAGCAGCTTCCTCCTCCTTCTCCCGCTCGCTGTAGGCCTCCTCCAGTCTGAGCTCCGTTTCCTTCAGCTCAGCTCCCAGCCTGAATCTCACAGAGTCCAGAGTTTTCTCCGCCTCAACCTTCAGCGCTGCCTCTTTCTGCTGGAAGCTTTGCTCAATGGCCATTCTTGCAGAGACCGCCTCACTTGCTTCTTTCCGCGCTTTCGTTAGTTCGGTTTTACAACTCTCCATCTCTGTTTGAGACATCTTGAGATCTTCTAATGTTTTGGCGGACTCCAACTTTGACTGCTCCAGCCTGCCTTGGAGCTCCTCCTGACTTAGCTGCAGGGCCTTGACTTCACGTCCAAGTTCACTGATCTTCTCCTGATATTGGATGGAGTCCCTCTGAAGCTGCCGCACTTCCAGCTGTTTTTCCCTCAGCAGCTCCTCCAGCTGCTTTGCTCGGCTTTGGCTGCCTTCTTTGACCCTCTGGGCAGACCTCAGCTGCTGCTCCAGTTCCCTCTGCTTTCCGGACTCTGCCTCGGCTTCGGCTCTCTCTCGCCGGGCCTGCCTCACATCCTCCTCCAGCCTGGCGGCTCGGTCTCTCTCACTCTGGACCTCAGCCTCCAGTCTCTCTACCTCTCGCTGAGTCTCAGCGAGTTGCTCACTGTTGTCTGCTGCTTCTTGCTGGTAGGTGGCTATGCTCCCGTTGAGCTGGGCCAATTGGTTCATCAGACGCTCCTCCAGGTTGTCTTTCTCGGTTTCAAGACTCTCCAGGAGTTCTTTGAGCTCAGCTTCTCTCTTTGAAGCGTCTTCAATCAGGTGTTTTTCTCTCTCGTTGCTCTGTTGAAGGTTCTTCTCCAGATGGTTCTCGTTATTTTTGCTCTCCTGCAGCTCTTGCTCAAGAGATGCCAGTTCAGTTTGTTGTTTTTGCCAGAGTTCCTTCTCTGCTTTCAGAATCTCAATCTCCCTCAGCTGATCTTCCAGTAAAGCTTGAGCCTTCTCCTTTTCTTCTGCAACCGCAAGATCATCTTGTGGCTCTGCTGCAGTCAAGATGGCATCTGACTGCGTTGCAGTGATGACTTCCTCAACAACAGCCACAGAGCTGTGTTGGTTTGCCTCAATGTCAGCGAGTTTTCCATTCAGCTCTTCAACCTGCTGCCTTAGAGCATCTCTTTCCGCTGCTGCAGCCTCCAGTTCAGCTTGCAGAGCTCTCATCTCCTCCTGAAGGTGCTCTGCTTCAGCTTTGATGACTGGATCATCATGTTTTGAAGTTTCCTGCTTCTCTCGGAGTCTCTCATTCTCCTCCTCCAGCTCCATTATCTTTTGCTGTTTTGTCTTTGCAAACTTCCTCATTTTGTCCTTCACTGTGTCCACCTCCTTCTGCGCCTCCTCTGCTCGTCTCTCGCTCTCCTGCCTTGCAGTCTCCTGAGCTCTCGCTTTCGCCGCCAGCTCCTGTCTTTCCTGCCGAGCGGCTTCCAGGACCTTCCTCACACGCTCCGCCTCATCACTCACATTCTCGTAAGACTTTAGCAGAGTCTCGTACTCCTCCTTCATCCCATGAACCTTCTCCTCCCACTCCTTACACACCCTTGCTGCCTCTTCCTTTGCCAACTCCACCTCCTTCTTACAAGCGTCCTTCTCATTAATTATTCCCTCCATTACGAGCTTCAGACTCTCACACGACGACCCCAGGCTTTGGTTCTCCACTAACGTCCGATCAACCTCCTCAATAAGTTTTGCTCTTTCGCCTCTTAGACTCTCAAGCTCTTCTTCTGTTGAATCGATCTTCTGCTGCAGCTCGGCGACTGCCTTCTCGGCCGAAGTGAGCTGCTCCTTTAGGGTCTTGTTGTCTTTGAGGGCCTCTTTGCGAGACACCAGAGCAGCTTGAAGCTTTCGCTGAAGCTGCTGGAGCTTTGCCTCACTGTCTTCTTCTTGCTTTTGTAGAATCTCGGTCTGCAGCTTGTGCATTTTCTCTTGCTCTGCCTTCAGTTCCTCCTGTAAAGAGGTTATCAGCCGATCTTTCTCAGACACAGAGTCTTGCATTGAGTGTATGAGGGAGTTCTGCTCACTCAGCTGCTGGCTGAGCTCCGATATCTCGCGGTTCTTGTTGTCTAGGAACTGCTTGAAGTCTTCCACTTCAGCTTGAAGAGTTTTCATGGAGTCTTCTACAGAAGCTTTGGATGCAGTTTCTATCTCTGCCTTTAGGGTTTCTGTATAAGCTTCAGCTTGAAGATACTTTTCTCGAAGTACATTCAACTCCTCATAGAGAGCATCAATTTGCTTTTCCTTCTCTCTCAGTTCTTCCAGGTCTTTACCCAGTTCAAGAATCTCAGACTCCTTAAGCAACAGGCTGCTGTGAGTTTCCTGGAGTTGCTTCTCCAGCTCAGTGTTCACTTGCCGAAAATTTTGGATCTCGTCTTGAAGAACTTTAAGAGATTCCTCCAGTTGTGTAGATGCAACAGGAGACGGCTGATCAGGATCGCTTACCTGTGTTTTCAATGAAACTGTTTCAGATGCAGCAAAGTCCACCCAATCCTCTTGAACCCAACTGTTTGCTGCAGACGCCTGCGCTGGTTCTGGTTGTGGATCTCCATCAGAGGTCGTCTTTTCCTCCAGCTCCCTAAGCTTGTCGAGAAGACCTTCCCGTTCTCTGCTCTGTACGTCAAATTGCTCGGTTAGCTCGTTGAAGTCATCTTTCAGCTGCTTCATCTGTTCGCGATGATGCCTGTCTTTCTCTTTGGCTTTGCGAATGGTTTCCTTGCGGGATTCTTGGGCTTCCTGAAACTTCTTCTGGAGTGTTTCATACTCCACTTCAAGAGAAGCGACTTGAGACCGCAAGATACCCGTTTCAGAGGCGGCTTCAGGCTGTTCGTCGCTCAGCTTTCTGTTCAGAGCAACTGTCTCTGCAAGGACTTGATCCTGATGGTCAAGTCTCTGCTTAAGAGTCTCCACTTCTTCCTCTTTGGATCTTAATGAGTCTTCTAGCTTCATGATCTTTTCCTCCAAGTCCTGAATCTCAGGTCTTTCAGAGAGCTTTTCAGAAAGTCCTTCTGTCTCGTCTTTCTCCTTCCATCGTTCTGCTTCCTTCTCAAACTCGCTGACTTTCTTCATGAGCTCCTTGCGCTGAACCAGAGCAGCCTGCAACTTCTTCTTTGTGTTTGCCAGCTGCATTTCCAAGGCTTCCTTCTCGTTCCTCAAGGTAACCACTTCTTCGTCATCATTAGATGCTTGCTGTTGATCATCTCTGGCCTTCTCCAGCTCTTCCATCTGCTCCTTGAGTTTACTCACTTCCCCTTTCATTTCAAACTTCTCTTCTTCTGCTTGAAGGAGCCTGGCGGACATGCTGTCGTTAAGCTCTGTCACCTCCTTTTCTTTCTGGTTGAGAAGAAGCTGCAGCTCTTCAATCTCAGAGTCCTTCTTTGATAGAGACTCATTGTGGAGATCTGAAGTCTGAGAGTGCTCCAACAGGCTGTTTTCCATTTCAAAAATCTTCTTTTGCAGCTTGGTGGAAAGAAGTTCTCCGTCCTGCAGCTGAGTGCTCAGCATCCTCGCCTCACCTTCCTGCTCAGACAGAGCTTTCTGCGTTGTTTCCAAATCTGCCTGCAAAGCCTCAATCTTCTCCTCCTTGGTTTTATTTTCATTCTTTAAAATCTCCAATTCTTCTTCCAGAAGTTGCATTTCAACACTCTGTTTCTCCACCATTTTGCTGTTTTCTAGCTCGTTGGACAACCTGAGTGCTTCAGCCTCAGCTTCCTCTTTGGCGACAGTGAGAGACTGTGCTTCCTCTTCCAAGGTTTTGATTCTCTCCTGTGATGCTGCAGCTGCGTCTTTAAGCCCCTGCAGCTCTGCCAGAAGCTCCCCGTACCTCTTCTGCAGCTCCTCGGCTAAAGCCTGAGCAAAGAAATTGACGTTTTCGTCGGAGGAGGAGGAACTCTGTTGGGTCAGGTGGACTTGGACCACGGATGACGACTGGGAGGATTCCTGCTCCATGCTTGTTGCCACCCAGGACTGACCAACATCCTGGGGGACGGAGGGCCACTCCTGAGCGCCGTCTTGATTCATGGCTTCCAGGAGCGTCCAGCTGCTGTGGGCCACCTCTGAATCAGTGCTGGTGACCATCTCATCTGAGGAGGTTCCCTTTGATTCTTCAGGAGACTCGGACTGGAGTCCGATGAGCTCCGGGCTGCTTTCGCTATCAGCAGGGATGGAGAGGACGAAGGTGTCTTCTGCAACTAAGGTGGTCTCTTCATCTTGTGCATCTTCCACGGAATCAGCAGGAGCTGCGGTAGTGTCTGGATCCGGACTTTGGTTTATTTCAGCTTCTCCTGAGCTTTGTTTTGTAGCAACTATGATGGATTCTCGTAAGGCAACAAGCTCATTGTCTTTTTCTACAAGCTGCTGCTCCAGCGCCAGAATATGTTCTGCAGGAGTTAAAAATAAAAGAAAATATATTTTTGACTAGCTCCACATTATGATAGTGTGATCAAGGCATTTAAGTGTAATGTTCAAACTTAATGTGAAATTACAGAATAAATTATGGTAGTAATCTTAAATAGCCGAATAATCGATGACTAAAATAATTAGTTACAAAATTCATGCCCAAGATTGTAAACTTAAAATAAATGTCAAGACTTTTTGTCCCCGACTAAGAAAAATAGGATTCAATCTGTTAAATGAATAATTTAGCTGCTATTTGCATTTAATTTATGAAGTGTACGATGTAGACAAAAATTAATTTACCTTTATCAGGTTGGGATGAATCCAGAGATGTTTCAGTGTCAGACATCTAAGAATAAAAAGAAAAGAGGATATGTTTTACTAAATCTAGATAAAATAGATGTTTAATAAACGGTTAGATGTTTAATCTTTAAAAATAAAAGTCCTCTAAATAAAAACAAAACGCAGTTATGTAGATTATGTTTTAAAATATTCTCCCAGTTTAAATCTGAATTAGCAGCGCGGCTCACGAGTCTGTAGTTCAAGGTGAAGGTCGGCTCAGTGGAGAGGAGATTAAATATGTTTCCTCCCTCTGAGATGAAGCATACAGACAGCAGACAGACGCCGTCCCGCCTGGCCTGCATTAGACGGGTGCAGATCACCTGTCCAGACTAAAGCTGTGACCCGGAACAGGGAGGACAGAACCGGTCTGTCTCTTCTGACCTCAAAGGAGAAGGTGACTTTGCAAACTGCACTCAGTTCAGTAAGGGCACCCAAAGCCAGTTGACACATCACACCGCAACGTTTAGATTTTTATACAGCAGCCGAATGCGACACAAATTCAACTTTTTTGTGGCAGTCCAAACGGTCCAATTCCGATCTTTTCACCCAGCAAAAAATCTGATTTTGCCACTTCCATGTGTGCAACTAAATCAGATATTATTGTTATAAAGAGTCAGCAGCTTTAACGGTCATGTTGCATTTCATCCAAGTTTTATGTCGTGGACATGAGACATGCATTATAATAAGGAGCCAGACGAGTTGAAAAAAATAAAAAAAATGTAATTATGAAAGAACTCGGTTCCACTGGGGATCAAAACATTTGTTACATTGACCAGAGTTTGCGTTTTTGGTCTGATTACGCATTCACACGTACGTACACGAACTGGACTTTCTAGACCAACGGACTGGAGTTGGACTGAATCAGACTAAACAGAACCTCAGAATCCAAGCCTGCTTACCTTGAATTAGTCCTATTGGATAATATTTAGGAGTATCAGACTCAAGGCGGCCAAATTGTATTCTACACAATACAGTACGTTATTTTTTGTAGAAAAAAAGATGGGTAATTATGGTTTAATGGAAGAATAATGTGAATAACTTCAATATTAAGACTCTTGTTGTCTGAAAAATGTTTTCAAATAAAACATGAATAAACACAAAAGGCAATAAAACAAACTGAAGTGGAAATGGACTGACTTCTACAATCTGCTGCTCCAGCTGTCGTATCTTGACATCGGCCTCCTCTTGTTCCGCTGATTTTATGTGAAGTTGTTCTGGAAATCAGACGTGGAAACCGATCAGAACCAGAACCACGAGCTTAACAATCGACAGCTGCAGAACCCTTACCCTGCAGGGCCTTCATGTTCTGGATGAGCTGGCCATGCTGTTCGCTCAGTTCTCCACATTCGTCCTTCAGCCTGACCAGCTGCATTTCCACGGACCGCACTGAGTCCAGGAACAGAGCGGGGTCAGCGGGGTCGCCCTCCGGCATCGTTTCAGGAGCGAGGGAGCGAAGGTGGCTCCAGATCTCAGCCAGAAGCTCCTCCTTCTTCTTCAAGCCTTCCTGCTCTTCTCTGAGGTTCACCAGCTCTTTCTGCAGGTCATCGACCTCTGACCTCTCTTGTTCCGTGGTTTCCTTCCTGGCTGATTCTGCTTCTCTAATTTCGCTTTGGAGCCGTGTGATTTCCGCCCTGTCCCTCTCTGAGGCGTCTTGGTGCGCTTGGGCAGCCGCTAGCTCTGCCTCTTTCATCAGATTTAGCTCCGCCACCAACCTGGAGGTCTCCATCTTCTCTTTCTCCAGCTGCTCCCTCATGGCAGAGAGCTCCGCTTCGCCCTGGCGGGCCTGCTCGGCCCATTCCTGCCTCAGCTGCACTGCCTCCGTTAGTTCCTGCTCCATCTGCCGGAACTGAGCCGTCAAAATCTGGAGGAAAAAACAAACAAATAAAGACTGGGATTCTGCCCATTTTTGTGAAAAACTTATTGCTGTATTTTGGAGTCTAAAGGGCCACATAAAATCTATGGGGGGCCAGATTTGGCCCCCGGGCCTTCAGTTTGACACATGTGCTTTAAACAAAATGTGAACCTAAACCAAGGGGGTCCAAAGTGCAGCATGGGGGCCATTTATGGCCATTAAATAGATTTTCAGCCTGGATCTGTTTTATATAATTTATTAAACTTGGGTGAATAAGAAAGTTTTCTGAATGTGTAGTGACCCAAATTCTGTTCTGACAACTTAGAATAAAATTGTTAACCGAACAAATTGGTGGCTTTTATTTAATATTGAAAAATAAAAGAAAAAAGTGGCTACTTTCTTTAATTTTTTTCTACTATACTTTCAAATAAAATAGTTTGGTAGCTATCAGGGCTGCAGTTATTCTGGATCTCTACCTGTTTCTGTTGATCAGCGCTGCTCACTTCCTGCTGCAGCATTTCCAGCTCTTGGGACCGAGAGAACAAAGCCTCTTCGAGCTCAACGCAGCGCTGCTGATCCGCCTGGAGCGCCTGGGAGATCAGAAATACAAGCTCTAAGATTTAGATGCATCGCAACTTCGATTTAAAATGAAGCTAAAAGAAGGGCTTAACCAGAATGCGGGGAACATAGTGCATGTTTAACCAACAATTTCTCTCATTTCTGAGGAAAATCTGCATGAAAAACCTTCTAGTTCTTGACAACCTTAGGAGTGCAGGATTTGTGTAGAGGTGAGCCGGGTCTGCTACCTGTTGCAGCTCGGTGCCGTCCTGTGTGCCGACCTTCAGCAGCTCCTCTTCATGTCTCTGAATCTGCTCCTGAAAACGGACGTCCTTCTCAGCAACGACAGCCTGCAGCACCCGCAGCTGCAAAACAAACAAACAAACCAGTCCAAGTTAAATTAATTAAACACTCGCTGCACCTGATCAGCTGTAAGTAGGGTCACCTGCTCAGCATGGGCAGCCTCCTTCTCCTGCAGCAGCAGCTCGGTGGCGAGGAGTCGCTCCTTTAGTTGCCGGCTGCAGGCCTCCTCCTCGCTCAGCTTGGCCCGCAGATCCTGAAGCTCCTCCTCGGCCGCCGCCGCGCCGGCAGAGCAGAAAGAACCGTCTGGAGTCTGCAGGAGACAAAACGCGTTGATGGAGAAGAGAGAAATTAATTTAGGAGTTTGTGTTGGAGCTGGGCAATAAGTCACACTTTTCTGTGTTGAAGATTATTTTTGCACCAGTGTTTAGGGCAGCAGTGTTGTTTGATGAGGATGTTTTACAGTTTTCCAATTATTTCAGTTTGAATTTGTTCAGGCTAAGATTTATTTTTTAAATTACGAGAATGAAGTCACAATATTTAAAGGATGCAGTCATACGACAATAGAGTCAAAATAATATATTACAGTCAAAGTTTATGGAGAATTAAGTAATCATTTTATGAGAACTCCTTTAAAAGTAACAAAAAATGTTCATAAATGTTGAGCATCTAGTGAAGTTATACTTTGATATCAGTTTTATGGATAGTCCTTAAGATAAGAACTTAATTTTTTAACACATCAACATCAAATTTTTATCAGTTGCAAAACTTTGAAACAAAGAACTGGAAGAGCTGAACTCTATCGAAGCAGTTTTTTTTTAATAGAAACGACTTTCTCATAATTTTAAGGTTTATTTTTGTCTTTACTTAGCTAATGTTATGACTATACGCTCATAATTAAACTAAAATTCTTGTAACCTGACTCTCATACTCAGTCATGCAACTTACAAAAGTTGGGTGATTGTGATGAAAGCCACGTTTTAAAAATATTGTCCAATATTTGTAATTTCTGTTTTAGACAGAAAGAGAGCAAAAACAGATTAAAATAGAAAATGTCCCAGCTGTAGCCTGAAGGCAAACTCTTGGACTCACCGCTGATTCTGCTTGTCCTTTCAGTTCCGTTATCTGCTTGTTGAGCGACGCCATCTTGGCTTTCGCCTGCAGTTTGAGTTTGGTGAAGCGAGCTTCCGCCTCTTCTTTCTCGTTCTGCAGAAACCAGGAGAAACATTTACACCAACTTTAAACGAGTGAGCAGAAAAACAAGGAACCCTGTGAGGTTATCTACCTTGAGCTGAGCATCTTTCTTGGTCAGCTCGGTCTCCTGATGCAGCAGCTGAGCGTCTTTGTCTCGAATGAGCTCCTTCAGCTGGACAACCAGCTGCTCCAGGTGGGCCAGCCTCTCCATGGCGTCCTCGGGAACCTCGGCGTCCACCGCAGTCTGGCCCTCTGCGGCGGGGAGCTGAGGCTCCAGCACGCCCTTTAAACACAGATAATTACACCAAGAGTAAGACAAAAAGCGTAACTTAACTTTATTAATTCCTTTTCGCAAACAGTTATGTGATTTCTGAAGGAAACAGTTGTTTTTTGTTTTTTTGTTTTTTTTGGGGGGGGGAGGGGGTATCAGAGTAAAAGGGGCAACTTATAGATTCAAACTGGGATTTAAAAAATTTTATACCATGAAGGTAATTAAAGAGAAACAGCAGCATGACTTACAAATGGACATTTATGGTATCATTGATCATTTATTATGAAAATGTCTAACAAAAACACTGCTGGAAATTTTATTTTTACTATTTTATCCACTGTTTATCCAACAGGAGCAACAATCAATATCAATACATTTGAAAAATATTATTAATTGTCATTGTTACATGAAGATCAGTGAATTAAATTCTCACTTTTTTAAGTAAATGGTTTCCTGAAGAAAAACAGTATTTCCGTTTGTGGTGTTTATAATTGAAATAAAGTGTAATAATTGTGTTATTATGAATCAATATGCTGTGTTAATAATGTCATATTAAATGTGTGTAGCTGTCTTAGTAAAAAACGTTATTTTATGAAGTAGCTAATGGAAATCCACATAAATAAACAAGTTATGGTTAAAGATGTAATAAATAGTTTTTCATTAATTTTTATCATTAGCACAACAATACAACACGATATTGTGATAAAATTCTAAATCCATGTTGTAAATAAAAAGTAATACATTTTGTAATCAGCAAATGAAAAAAATAAAATAATTAGAAGTGCAAATTGCAGGAAGACAAACATGTAAGAAGCAGTATTTAGCATTTCACTTTGCAATAATGTAATAAAATATGAACCAAATGACCTGAATATGCAGAGCTGATCACATTAGATTACACATTTAGAAGCTCAAATAACAGCCGATTATGATATTTTTAATTTTTATTTTTTAAATTGTGTGAATTGAAGTCACCTGTTGGTTTCCATCTGTGCCCTCCTCTCCAGAAAGCTCCTGGAGGACGTTGGCCAGACGGCTTAACATAAAGTCGGAACTATGAGGAGACAAAAGCAATAAAAAACATTTAAAGGCTTCCTTGTCTTTTTACTACAGATATCTATTATTAAATGTAAATCAACTCTGCAGTGTTCCTGAATGCAGCTGTTGAACAGGAAGCCCATCTGCACCAGATATCCTGAGAAACTGGTCCTATGAAGCTGAATAAACAGTTCAAGGCGTATTTATTCATTTTGCACCAATAAGTAGATGAAAGAAGTAAACCAGTTTCATTTAGAACAAAACACTTAAGAGGCTGCAGAAGCCTCAAATTCAAGAAAAGGATTTATTTAATTGTTTTATGGAGTGATTGTATTACTTTGTTTTTGTCTCTCTGTTATTATTAGTGGGTGTTTTGCTGTTACAAAAAACTTTGGTGCAGCTCATGTTTTAAAAGTGCTTCATAAATAAATTAAAACATTCCATAATTTTAAAAAAGTGTATCCTACTTTCCTTGGATTGTTTTTATATAGTCTATTCCATTTTGTCACATTGGTGGAATAATAAAATACATTTCTATGACTTTCTACTTAACTCAGAAAAATAAGGAACATTTAATAAAAAATTCAAAGGGCTACACATTAGCAGAGAATCCCTTATCCCTGTTTTCCGGACTAGACCGAAAGGAGTCGAACGCTTTCCGAAGCTCCTGGACGCTCCACTGCGGCTGCGTCGATCTTTTAGTGGAGAGAAAAGATTCTAGCTAGCGCAAACTGACGGCGAACTTCCAGAGCTTAAATGGCAGCCATTTTTAAATAATGCTAAAAAATGGAGACGCAGGAGCAGTTCGGTGGAAGCTGAGGGTTTAAACTCACTGTTTCCCACGGAGCAGTGAGTTAGCTGGGGCTACTTGGCGAGCTAACGCTGCTAAAGGTAAATAAGGACAGCCTCTCCTGAGCTTCACTGACTTTCTACTGTTTTTTTTCCGCCTGACAGCTGTTCGCCTCAGTCGGTGGCGTGCACTTTTAAAATAAAAATCAGCTTTAACTCACCTGTGCGGATGCTCCTCAGGAAAATCCGTCTGGTTTTAATTTTTCTTTATTTCCTCGGATTTTAGAGCCACATCACCAAACACTCCCGGAAACAGAACTTTCTCCGCTCTGATTGGACAGCCGGGATCTGTAAGAGACCGTTGATAAATTTAAAGGCGTACACACCTCTTTTCTCCTCGGGGAGTGTCTGACTAAATCTACCAACTCAAACACGGCGAATGATGACAATTTAACTTAACTTACACAGTTTGTAATGATGGCAAGACATGACCAAAGACTCAAGCTGATCGTGAACCATGGGAAGCAGTTGGGAAGGAGTCTGCTCCTCTTGGCCCGCTACACTTTGCTGTTTGGGGAGTATTGTGGCCATTTTGTTCAGGGGATAGTGGCGGCCTTGAAGTGGACCAGCGTGTTTGCAAGGACCACAGCATCAGTTTTTGACTTCATCTACCAGCATCTGCACTGGGGGAAGAGGACAACCGTCGTAAGCACCAAGGAGATCTGCTTGGACCGGTGACTTTTAAAACAGACTGACCATGATGGAAACTTGGACCTCAACAAACTGTGATAGTTGAATATTTGTGAATACGATTACATATCTGATGTTTTCAGTTATTTATCTACCTGCTGATATGACGACTTCAGGTGTGTCACAGGGCAATACCACACCCCTCTGACCCCCCACCAAAATATATACACAAGATAATGTAATAACCTTGTAACATTTTTTGTAAACACTTTATACTGTAATTAAATTTTTTAAATAAGTTTTGTTTTTATTTTGACATCTAATTTCATGTGACAGCTACTATTAATTTAGTTTAAAAATCCATAATGGAAATCTAATGTCTTAACTCACATCTTCACAGTTGTTGTGGATGGTGATGCTGTTTGGCAGGAAGGATCTCCAGCAGCAGTCAATCATCCATTGAATCTGAAGAGGCCTCTGACTGAAGACTGTTTGACATGCTAGCATTTCAACATCTGGGCAGCAGAGATGCTATTCCACAGCAACATGTCCTGGATGACGGCATCAGTTGTCATCCAGGCGTACACATCAGTTGTTATCAAACACGGCTAATTCACCTCATTTCAGAGGGATGTTGGAGTAGGGGATACAATATACTTTATGATAAATAGGAGAGACGGTTTGGACTTCCTCCTTTTCTCTTTCTGTTTTTATTGGTCCATGAAATCTCTTTGTTGTAATTCAGGTTTTATCTGAGCTTTAGAGATGCCAACCAGCTGCTACCCGGTTTAAAAAAAAACTCTAAATCGTCCAAAAGTAAAAAATAAAAAGAGAAGAAATACTTCCAGCTGCGCAGAATCTACAAGAAGGAATGACTGTTCAACATATCAGCAAATAGACAAAGAACAAATGGAAACAAAGGGAATAAATCGTAACTCCAACGTCCTTCTAGCAAAACAAACTGGTGAAAACATGCATTTCATTGTTTTTTAAAATGACTTCCACTTGACAGGTGCACTATTTTCTCCTCCCGACACTGAGACCAGATGGTTTGCTGTGGTTCCTGAACTCTCAGTGTGCTGTATTGAAATAAACGTCTTCACTAATCGCCTGTAATCTCATTTACCTTTGGAACAAAACACAATTAAAGCTGCAAATGACCTCGAAAACTCCTTTGATCGATGCTTTCTCAGTTTCACTCGCAGGATTTTGTGTAAAAACTATTGGAAAACATCAGAAGAAATATAGTAGAATAATTTAATTTAGGTCTGGACTTTGACTGGGCCATTCAAACACATGAAATATGCCAGCCAAGCCATTAAATTGTAGCTGTGCCTACCTCCACCTTGTAAACTGTGGCTTTGTATTTAGTAAAAACTAATGCTGAGCAATAAAATAATTGCTAAATTTTTATAGCGAAACAAAACAGTCATGTGAAAATTATTTTATGTTTGTACTGCAACATCTTTGCACTTTAATACAGTACGGCAAATGTGTTTTAAGCCTCAAAATATTATTAGAAAGGAAATTAGAAAAAAATAGATAAGGCCTAAAACAGAACCTTGGGGTACACCAAAATAAACTGGATGAGAGTAAAGTCTGCGCTTTCTCAAAAAGTGGATTGATTTGAAGCTATTTATACATTTGAAAATGAGTCTGTTTTTTGATACCAGATATGAAAAAGCAGAAGGGTTGTGCATACATTTCCAAGGCAACGCATACGTTAAAAAAAGAAGAGGCCAGCTACTTCTATAGCGTAGAAGATTGCCAGGAAGGAAAGACGTCAACGATGACCTCAGCCAAGCAGTTGGAAGATCAAGTGGAAAGCGTTTCGCTGCCAATTTTCCCCGTAGAGGAAGTCCCAGGAAATTCCCTAGAAGGTCAGAACATGTGACGACCCAGCAACTCCAGCTCAGACAATACAGACTATCTGTAATCCCTCATAACAAGGGATGAAACCATTAATCGGATTAATCAGTGATTGAAATAATTAGTTGATTAGTCATTAATTGGTGTATGTAGACTTTAAAAAAGATGCTATTTTGCTGAAAGAACTATTTAAAGCAATAATTAAATAATTTTTTTTTAACAATATAATAATTTTGCATTTAAGATAAAAACATGATAGGTTTTACCCACAACTCCTCAAGTGGCAGATTTAGCTTCACTTTGTTCAGATTTTGTTACATTCTTCCTATTTAACACATTTTTCTAGTCAATTAATAATTGTTTAATCAGGTTAACCTTACACTTTATTGATGCTGAAAGCAAAAGCGTTAATGTTAAAAATATTTTTATAGCTGTTTCCCCAACTAATCAAAAATTCACTAAAGAAATTTAATTATTGCATTTTAGAAAAAAATAATAACAAAATGAACTAAGTTATTTATTAGATTTTTTAAATGTATTCATAATATTGCATAAATGAGTAATGTGGTTAAATAAAAACCTCTGCAGATTAATTAAAATTTTTATGCAATTAATAGATTCATAGTCAGAACAATAGATTATAAAAATAATCGTTAGTTGCAGCCCTGCTTATGACGGATATTTAAATGTTTTTTTTTTTTTGCATTTGTGCTTTTATACCATAAAGTTGAAATAATGAAAATTTTATAGGATAATTTGTATATTTTTGTTTATCTAATATATATATATATATATATATATTATACAAAAATATTTTTGTAAAATCTACTTTCACAAAAAATAAATGGTTTTATTAAATTAAATGTTATTAACTTTCAATATATAATAATTCATGTACTAAGGTGTAATAAATTATTTAAAAATAAAATGTATTTAGAAAAATTTTTCTTATAAACTATATGTAAATTTTCTTTTAGTAAAATATGTCTATCTTATTTTTAATTTTATTTTTTATCTATATATTTTTTCCTTTTTTTTTCAGGGTGGTAGGAACTGAGTTTGTTTTTGACTCCAGTTTTTTGCTCATACTTTGACTCTTGCTCCATGTCTGAATTATTGATACTTCTTTTGTCTCATTTCCCTGGCATAAAATAAAAAAGTTGTTGGGGGGTGGGGATGCTCTGATGATAATCCCATCCACATAAAGAACAATGCGTCTCGTCCGCCATGTCTCCTGTTGGGCGTCCTGTATCGGCGCGTGAGGGATGAAACCTGCACCATGCGTGTCAGCACATCCCTGGCAAAGGCGGGACAGCCAACCTGCCCTTTTAATGGGGGGATTAAGCTGATCAACTGCATGTTTTCCTGGATTAACGCCAGAGATTAGAGCCAAGGAGGTCTGGTGAACTACAAAAGGACCTTGCCAAGTGCCACCCTCATCCTAAAGGTCCAAGAGTTGAGTGACTGTGAACAGGGACAAGATCCGCTTCACAGTAGACCAATTGGTTAGTGCAGTTTGGACCAGCAGCTGTTAGAGACATGGGCAACTCAAACGGATGCACCGTGGACGACCTGCAGGCCGTGGAGATGCACCTGTGGTACAAGAAGTTCATGACGGAGTGTCCGTCCGGCCAGCTCACTCTGCACGAGTTCAAGCAGTTCTTCGGGCTGAAGGGACTGGACTCAGAGGCCAACGCCTACATAGAGCAGATGTTCCGGACGTTCGACATGAACAAGGTGGGTGAAAAATGGAGCAAAAATGTTTTTATCCATTTCTTTAACCAGGTGAATTATTAAGAACAAGTTCTTCTTTATGATAACCAGAGATTAGTTTGTTTACTTTTAGTTATTTCTGTGTATCAAGGTTGCTGTGTGTTGCAAACTTCTGGGTCCCAGTGGGGTTTTAGCTGGTCAAATATAAGAAATAAAATTTTAATAAAATGTCTCTTAAATATTGTAATCTTTCTAAAATAATGACCTGAATTGATTTGCAAAAATTAAGGCTAAAAAATGACTGAGGTCATTATTTTTTCAGAAGTGACATTTATGTAATTTTCACCTTTTTGTCTCTGAAAAGAAAAAATAAGTAACTTCTGACAATCTGTGCATCATCTTTATAAACAGATTATAAATGCATACATTTTAAAAATATATATTTTCTTTACTTGTTTTTTCATATTGGGTCTCTAAAAAATTAAACCATAATTAATTTCAGGTGCAATATTTTCCATGTCTTGTTTTTGAACAAATTGCAAACTATGTTATGCAACTATTTAAAGAATGCCTTTTTTATTTATTGCTTTATAAATTAAGATCAGAAATTGCTCAAATCAAAATAAAAGCACAGAAAAATGTAATCTAAAAAGGAATAAAAATATGTATTTAAAAAAGATAATACTTGTAAGGCGAACATTTATCAAATTTAAATTGAGATGTCGGTGGCTTTTATTTTTGAACATAGGGTTTCTCTTTGCATGTTTTTAAAAAACTAAACATACAAACAATTAATTTTACGTGCTATGTTTCTTCCATACATTTTGATGTAACCATAATGAATACATTTTTTTTAATGAAATTAAAATGAGATATTTCTATAATTGGCTGTTAAAAGCTCAAACTTTCAATATCAAGAATTTTCTCAAAGGGCTGATTGTGCCATAAAGTATTAATAAAACTATTAGCTTATTTGTTAAAATATTAATTTACAGTTGTCTGCATTTGATGACATTAAATAATATTTAACATGTTTTCACATTGATGTTATTTGGCACAATACAAATAAAATAGCAGATTTGATTGATAAAATAATATTTAAGCACATTTAACTCAAATATCTATTTCTATAGTTTCTAGATTTGGTCTCTAGTTTGACGCATGTGATTTAAATAAATAACATGTAAAGTAAATGGGTTAAAACTCTTAGAGGATTTGATCCAGTGGTGTGCAGTTGTAGTTTTCTAGAGTCGATGTGGAAGTTTGTGGTTCCTGCTCAGCTAAATTGGCTCCCGAGACAAATTTAGGTTGTTTTATTCAGGCCTATTGGACCAGCAAAACGTCCAACTCTGGAAACCATTTCTGTTTAATTTCAGAAAGTTGGTAAAACTGGAGGGCAAAAAGGAGCGTTACAACTGCTTAGGGCCCCCTGTGGGCAAAAAAATCTGAGCAAAAGCTCTGGTTTCACACATAAGAGGAGCAAAACCTCAGTTATTTTAGCTAATAGGACACATGCTGTTTCTTTTCTTGTTAATCTGTAAAATTTAAATGTCGGCTCACAGGTTATATGGAGAACACTAAAATGAGGTCAGGACTGTTGAGGGGGGTTAAATGCAACAGGGGCCACAAAATAATTCAGCTTAGGGCCTCATAAAACTTTGGGTTGGCTCTGTAAAACTGCGTCTAAAATGTTTCTCTTAAATTTTAAAGTTTTATTGTTCAAATGTTATTTTTCAGAAAGGTTAACTGTTGATAAAGCTAAAAATTAAATCTCCTTAGATACCAAGAAAAATCTTTTTATCTCATGCTTTAAAATTACAAATTGAAAGGATTGTTCATCTTAACATATTTACTAAATAGAGTTTTATTTGACAAATATTCCATAAATTATGTTTTAGACGTTTATTTTCATTTTACAATAGAAATGGGCAGCAATTTCAGAATAAATTTAAGTGTTTATATTAATGTAGCAGCAGCAGAAATCCTTTTAGAGACTGTACATACTTAAATGTCAAGTAAAACTAAATTATTTAAGCGGCTGTAGGATTCAGTTTATCAGCTTAAATTTTTTAAAAAGTAGCTGGCACAATTCCTGTTTGGGAGGTTAAAGTGTCTCTTTGTGATGCTTGGTTAAATTTATACAACCAGAAGACATGCTAATCCTAATTTATGTCCCCTCAAACGCAGCAGGCGTTAATCAACCTCCCAGCTACAAACTTTCGGCCCAATTTTTCCTCTCAGATCAGTTTAATTAGGAGCATCCTCATGACTGACGGGGTCGTCTCAGGATTTGTTGCAGCATCTATATTTACTCTCTCCTTGAGCCAACAAAAGGCTGCTGTAATCTGTGCGCTTGATTGAACAAAGAGATTATCCCCAAGACGATGCTTTGATGCTGAGATTGATGCGACACAGGCAGTCCAGGAGGTAATCTGTCTTGGCAAAGGATCAGTGATGCAGCAGGAAGACAGGGTGTTCGTTCTCTCATTAAATCTCAAGTAGGTATAGATATGGATTATAATCTGGCACGTTGATCATCTCTGCAGGATGGCTACATAGATTTCATGGAGTATGTGGCGGCTCTGAGTCTGGTGATGCGGGGAAAGATGGAGCACAAGCTTCGCTGGTACTTCAAACTCTACGATGTCGATGGAAACGGCTGCATCGACCGTTACGAACTCCTGAACATCATCAGGGTAGATTAACAACCGCCATTTTCCTGAAACTTCCCCAACAAGTGTGGCGGCGTATTGACTTTAATCCCTGTCCTTCCAGGCAATCCGGGCGATCAATGGAAACGACAATCAGGAAACAACCGCAGAGGAATTCACCAACAAAGTCTTTGATAGGATTGACATCAATGGAGATGGTGAGTACAGATTGGGTGGATGATGTTCAATGTCCAAATCCCGCTTTAAATCCAGTCTGAAGTTAAGAAACAAGTCACAAACTCTGACATATACAGAGAAAGTTAGATTTAGTGGATTTTAGTTTCATCCTGAAATTTCACCCTAAAGCCAACTACGCTATATTGACACAAGTGTTGGCTGAACAATCGAAAATACTGGAATCAGGTGTTCCATGGCCACAGGTGTATAAAATGAAGCACCGAGGCAGGTACATAGTTTTCACAAACATTTGTGAAAGAATGGGTCACTGTCAGGAGCTCAGTGAATTCCAGCATGAAACTGTGATAGGATGTGCAACTAATCCAGGCGTGAAATTTCCTCGCAACCAAATAATCAACTGACAGCTGTTTTATAAGAAATGGAAGTGCTTGTGAACAACAGCACCACAGCCACCCAGTGGTAGGTCACGTAAACTGACGCAGTGGGATCAGCGGATACTGAAGCGCATAGAGGTCACCAACTTTCTGCAGAGTCAATCACTATAGACCTCCAAACTCCATGTGGCCTTCAGATTAGCTCAGGAACAGAGAGCTGTGACCAGCTGCACCCAACCAGACATCACCAGGTGCAATAAAAAGCTTTGGATGCAGTGGTGTAAATCACAACGCCACTGGACTCTGGAGGCGCATTCTCTCGAGTGACGCATCGCACTTCTCCATCTGGCAATATGATGGACCAGTCTGGTTTTGGCGGTTACCATGAGAACAGTATATAGAAATCCTCATTTTGAAATGACATTTGCAGGTGTTATAATAATTACTAAAACTTGTATTTACTGTATCCGGGGAAAGATGAGGAGACGCATCTGGGTTCACAGGTTCTGACTTTCCTCCACTGATTAACGCGATTTGCTGGAATAGGACGATACTTTCATTGCAGCTCACTTCCTGTGTCCAAAATGCAACTTTTGCCCGACTCTTTCAAAAGAATCAGTTTTTCTTAACTCTAGCGTACAATCACATTTATTACATTTGAATATTGTTGAAAAGTTCATTTATTTCAGGATCGACATAAATTAATACAACGCAAACTTATGTTTCCAAGTCTTTATTTGTTGTTACAATTAATAAAAACATCAAATTTAAGACTAAAATATTCCATAAACAATATTTTTATTTATTTTTACCAACTCAATGTTATAATTTGTCATAAAAAAGGAGAAAACATGTCAATTTTAAGCATAAAACTTTCAAACATTATACAAAATACAAGATTAACGCTTAAATAATTGTTTTTGAGTTTGGTCCTTTGGATTTCCTTGTAGTTTTGACTTTGCTGCTTTCGTGGACAAAAAGAAAGTACACCCACTTTAATTTTTAAATTGTATTTGAAGTTGAAAGTACTTTATAAAATAAAATACATAACTTTACACTAATTTGTCTGGCTTTTCTCAAAAAGATCAAATTTTCAAAATCATTATTAACGCAAGAAAAGGAAGAGTTTTGTTCAATTTAACATTGGAAAATAAAATAATGCAATTTTTGTTAACAGTTCATGAACATAGCTGTAACTTTTAATAAGTAATTTGTGTTTTTCTACGCTGCAGGTTCATTTATATCACTTTCTTTTCTTGTTGCCATGATGATTTAAATATTTTAAAGCATTAATGTTGTGTTTCTGAACAGGTGAGCTGTCTTTGGAGGAGTTCGTGGAAGGCGCTCGCAGTGACGAAGACTTCATGGAGGTGATGATGAAGAGTTTGGACCTTCGTCACATCATGGCGATGATCCACAGCAGGAGGCACAGCGTTTAGCCGCCTCGCCCTCATTCACAATGCCGCCTCTTTGTAAAAAAACCTCTTTTATATGTAAAAGTGAGATTTTCTGTTTGGTTTGGCTCCAACGTAACAGGAGGCTGTACCTCTGAAAATAGTCATTTTATGAATTCAATCTCTAAATGAGCGACATTTATGCATTTTAAAAACGGGCTGACTCACTGAGGATGATCTGCATGAAAGTCGATCCTGAGCTGAGCTCCACGGATCTGTTTTTATTTTCTCTATCGATGTCCCTCATAAGGTTAAATTGGTCGGGTCAACTGAAGGAAACTACGACTGCTTGACGTGAATTTGATTAGCTGGGAAACAGGAACCTTAAGAGATTTAGTGAAAAATAACCATTTTCTTTTTTTCTGTGTTTAAAAGCCAAATTTAGTAGCAGGTTTTGTAGTTTTGAAGTGTCTTTGGGTGTTTTATTGACTGACGTGTTTGGCTTGATAATATAGAAAATCCCAGTTCTGTTGTCAGCTGTACTCATCTGGTGCCTTCACTGCACAGTGTGTTTAATTTAATCTTTTCTCTATTTATACAATAAAACAAATCCAACTATGAATGCAGTTTTAATTTTTATTGTTTAAAGCAAGAAAATGAGTAAATATTTTAGTTATTTTGATGTACCAGATGAAATATTTCAGCATTTTTCTGTCATATACACACATACCTGAGTATTTATCTGAAGGAAAAGTGTCAATAAATAAACATACTGCACTTTCTTTTGAACTTGTTCATCTCCCAATTTGCACGTTTAAAACATGCTAAACAGAACATGCATGTAACACAAATGAGAGAAAATTGAAGTTGAACATGGAACAAATTCAAACGAAACTAAATAAACAGTGAAAGTTTGTTGTTAATGGCAAAATGAGGACGAGATTAAAATATATGTTTGGTAGATTTTGCACTAAATTATCAACTAAGGCAAAGCAGACTGGATGTTTATTTTTCTCATCTTACATTAACCAGAAATGCAGAAGAATAAAAAACAACTCAAATTGCAGAGTTGGTGTAAACAGAAAAGCCCACGTCGCTTTGTTCAGTTCAAAAGGATTTGAATAAAATGTGCATCAATGAATCCAAGGTTAGGTCAGGACAAAATAAAAATAAAAACCAGTGAAACTGCAAAGCAAAGAGCTGCGTTTACGCCTGGGAGGAAGGGCAAAGGTCATCCTGGATGTTGCCAGAATTACTTTCCGTCAGGAAAGACAACGTCATCTTCATTTGCATTTTTGAAACTAAATGTTTCTGAGCTTTTCATCTCATGAATAAATAAATACTGAATATTTTTCCTCTGATAGCAAAGGCGAAACTTAAAGAGAAAGTGAGTTAAAACTACTGCAGCATTATGTTTATTTATTTTGCACAAATAAAATTCAACAGAGGTCAGCGATTAGCCACAAGGTGGCAGCGAAACGTTCACAGCATTTCCAGCCAACAGCAGAGTCAGCCAAACACTCGTCTGCAGAAATAAATCTGTCTTTATCTTACTGTCACTGCGTGTCGTCTCTCCTTCACGCGCCGCAGCCTCACAGGAAATCATACAGATACTTCACAATATCAAAGTTCACCGTCCTGGAAAACAAACCACAGCGAGCGCGCTCTGTCAGACTCCGTAAAGGTCAGTTCCTCTGGATAACTCAGAGCTGCGGGTGTGTGACAGAGGGGGGCGCGCGCGCACACACACACACACACACACCTGGAGATGGCAGAGATGAAGTCCAGGGAAACGGCACATTTGTACTTTGGAGAATCGAGCTGGTCGTCGTGACTGACCAGAGTCAGCAGCTGCAGCGTCACCAGAGACGAGATCTGAACAGAAACATTTATTTTTATCAGCTGCCCCAGTTTGAGCCACAAGTTTCACTAAAAACTTGTGGCTCTGCATCAAGCTTTTATGGAAACTTGATCCTAGTATCTGGTGATTCTAGGAGAACATAGGACAATCTCTAAATACATGATTCCTATCTTTTATTCAAGGTTCAAATCAGTTTGGAGTTAAGATTTTAAAATTAAAATAGCAAAGTTCAAGGAGAAATACAAAAAACTGGAAAAAACAGATGGACTGATGGATGGATGTTGGACTAAAACATGTCTGGTTCATTGACAACAGATTCAATAAAATAACTGATTTCAGACAACAGGACGAGGAATAAAAAGTTTAAATTAATAAAAGCGTTAAATTACAAACAGAACTTTCTTCTCTTCCTCCACATTTATCCAAACCTCTGAAACATTTAGAAGTCCAGAGACACCAGCCTGATGTGAATCAAATCCAGATATAAAACCTGCTGATGTTCACAGAAACATGGCCGCCTGCCGGGTTCTGACCTGGGAGAAGATGCTGGCGCTCGGAGCGACCCGGCTGTCCACCACGCTGTAGAAAATGGCCAGCAAGCGGTCCAGAGGGAAAGGCTTCGGCCCCAGAAGGTGGTTACTGGTCTGGGAGACAGGAAGTCACAAATTTCAAATCAAAATGTTTTTTATGAAACACATTACTGTACAGTGGCGAAGTAAAAAGAATACAAACTGGAATGACCCATTAAAGAAACTCTAAACAAATAAATCAATAGTCTTGATTTAAAGGAAATCAGTGGTACAGTTTTTTTTTCAGTTTTCTGGACATTTATTCAGGATTAGAGGAACACAAAATGGAAACTATCTGAGCTGATTAAAAAGGTCACCTATACACACAAATGAGTCCTTGTTTTTTTTAGGTAAGATTCAAACCAATTAAGTGCTGAACTCAGCCGACCGACTCAGCTGTTTGGTACAATTAGTCTTTAAGCACATAGATATTACATAAGAGGAGTCCAAGGATTGAGCCTTGAGGTACCCCACACCTGACTGTTCTGAACTCAAAGAGTCACCTTTAAACACAAACAGGTCCCTCTGTTTTAGGTTAGATTCAAGCTAGTTAAGCAAAAGTCTGACCCAGACCTTTGGTCCAATTAGTCTTCAAGTGTGTAGATATTAAATGAGATGGGTCACAGGATTGAGCCTTGGGGTACACCACATGTGATTGTTCTTAGCTCAGAAAAAGAAAAGTCACCTATAGACACAAAGATGTCTGTTTTTTTTAATTCAAACCAGTCCAGCTGTGAATAAAAACCAGGGAGTCAAGGGAAGGGAGATCACCTTTTCATTTTTCTTCAAGAAGTTTGTTTTTTTAATTTTTCCGTGATGCTGCAAGGAGAAAACAAAGACAAAGCAAGTCGTGAAGCGAAAACAAGACTTTTTACTGTGATTCTTCATCCGTAAAATTAAAATACCTTCACAAAGAAGCGTTTATCTGTGCGGGCGGGATTGTAGGAGGCCAGATAGGCGGCGATTAGCAGAAACTTGGAATAATATGGAAGCTCAACATGAGTGTGAGCTGATAAACCTTCAAAATCAGGAAACAGATCCAATCACACCTTTAATTCGCCTTCATTTATAATCTGTGTAATAAATAAATGTTTTCTGCGTGTTGGCACCTCTCAGGGCTCCGGTCTCGTGTTCATCCATTTGCTCCCACTGAAGACTAAAAGAGAAAAAACATCAGAGATCATTTATTTAAGGGGATCAGAGGCGAAGTGAAGCGCAAATCCAGATGAAAGTTCAGACCTGGAAATCTCTCGAAGGTAAACCGTCTGCATGGCTTTCTTCAGATGAGGCTCGATGTTTTTCCACAACTTGTGTGTTTCTGTCTCTTTTACTGAACAAAAACAGAAGCAAATTCATTTAAACTAAAGACTCATTTCTGCTTGGGCAAACTGAACTCATCCAGTACAATTATGAAGCTATACCTCAGAAAATGTAAATACTGTAAACTCCTGGTGTCGCCCTATTGAGCAAATTAACTCAAAACTGATCAAAACGTAGTTTTATTTTGGGCCGTATCAAGATTATGAATGTCCTCAGAAGGGCCAGTTGTGGTAAAAAGTGTTGATAAATCCCATCAACAAATCTTTGGATAATAAGCCACCTAAAAAGTACTGATTATTTAACTACTTCCATTGATTCAAGTTGACAGAATATATATAAAAACTACAGATGATTATAGCCACTTAAAAAAAGAAATCTGGCTTTAATCTTCTGAGGTCAAAAGTCAAAATCCTGAAAAAAAATATAGAATTCTGTTTTTTCCCATAAATTTGACTTTTTTTTTCTCCAGAATTCAGTTAGTTTGAATTCCAAATTTTGTTTCACAGAATTTCGACTGAGACAAAATTTCTCTTCCAGAATTCAGTTTGGGGTTTTTTTTCCCTCCACAATTTCTACTTTTTTCCTCCCCCCCCAGAATTTTGCCTTTTGATCTTACAAGGTTAAAGTGAGAACAATTCTGGTAAATTCTGAGGAAAAAGTCAGATATCTCCCTCTGGACCGCATAAAACTTTATGGCAGACCAGATTTGGCCCACGGGCCTTGAGTTTGAGACGTGTGCTCTAAAAGGTTTCAGTCAGGCCCAACCATGGGAAAGACTGCTGACTGAAGAGATTTGTATCAAAGCTTCACTCAGAAAATTTAGTGGAAGGAAAAAGTTTGGAAGGACATCACAGGAATTCAAACTGAATCATGAATCCCACACATTGACTGTAAACTCCATGATACGCTGCACTGATGCAGCAATTCTGCAAAAGCAGCCCCAACCGAGGCCAGACAGGATAAAAATTAACATGAGATTTTTGTTTAAAATATCTTTTTTGTTGATCTGATGAAGAAATAAATGCTTGAACTATTTCACCCTGTGTGTGATGAATTTAAAATATCAATATTTTTTAGCTTTACCTTTCCCCGCTAAGACAGGTTCACAGAACTTTGGGAAGTTGAGCGCCGCCTGATTGAAACGAAACAAATTAACAATAATTAGTGTTGAATGAAACCAGTTTAAAGCCACCAGTTAGCCCAGTGAGGCATGTGTTCCTCACCAGGTGTTGCAGCTCTCTGAGGTCCCGGCAGACGGCGTAGAAAACTCCCAGCAGGATGTTGATGTAGGAGGAGTAAAACTCTGCAGAACATGAAGGATGTCTGTGTGCAGATAAGATGTGCAGCAGCTCAGCTGGAAGCAGAAGTTTGACTCGTTAGCTTCACTCCGGAAGAGCAGATTGTAGATTCTCATTTTCATTTAGTCTTTAACTTTGACTAGGCCTCTCTAACACAGATCAAAACCATCTCATAATATCTCTGATTGCATGTTTTAGATGGAACATGAATCTCAGTCACTGGTCCTCTGGAGTCTCTGGGATTAAACGAGTTCCCACATCATGATGCTGCCACCACTATGTTTTGCTGTGGTTACAATAGGAACCAGATTAATTTTTTTCATTTTTCAGATTTTTATCCATCAATCTACTTATGTCAGGCTATATTAAGGGTTTGAATAGGAAATTATTCCTCTACTAATTTGTAGCGTCATCGTTTGAGTTTAGGTTTGAATATTCATAAGGCGCTTAAATACAGTTCAACAAAAGTACTACAGAATACCTTTACTGTAGTCGGGGAAGTGGAGCAGCAGAGGCTCGAAGCAGCCAGTGTTTGGTCTGAACTTGTCCCAAACAATTTCGCTCAGCAGGATGACGCTGACGTTGTCCTCTACCTAAAAATGAAACGTTATAAGTGTGTCATTTTCTTTAATAACACACTTTAGAGTTAAGAGTTGTATCCATGGATACAAACCCATCAACACTGAAAAGGTGACAGAAACATTTTATAAATCAAACATTTAAACTGGAGATGCACCCATCAGATTTGGTGCCATTCACTATTATTGAAACAAAAAAACATGTCTGATATTTATTTCTTTTTAAATTGGACAATATAAAAATACATATATAAAGTTCACTGTTCTTCCAGTGACATAGAAATTTTGCAGCGGCCTAGCCAAAGTCTGAACTTAAATCCAACCCAGATAGTTTCGGCCTTATACATGTCGTTCAAATGGAAAAAAAAAAAAAAAAAACTCCAAAATGGAAGAATTAAAACATTTTTGCAAGGAGAATGGACCAACATTTCTCAAACTCTGCAGGTTGAAAAAGTTAAATTTCTGTGAAAATGAAGCTAAACTCACATAAAAAAAATGAAAATCTCAATCTCGAGAAGATGCAGGTTTGTTTCTATAAAAACCATAAACTTTCATAATTCAAACAGGCATCCATGTTGGTACCAAATCAGTTATCTTGACCTTTAATTTGGTTGTCATGTGGAGAACTGGATGAGGAAAATTTCTGTAACGACGCTTCGGCTCCATTCGATGTCCCAGAAATAAATGGCAGCCAAAGAAAAGCCACAATGGGGAACCTGAACCAAAACTTTCCTAACAAGAGGAAGTTTTTTTTTAAATTACTTAATTAACTTATATCTGTGAAATTGAGTAGAAAATTTTTGTCAAAATCCTAATTATCACTTTTACCTCTCGTAGCTATACTGAAGAATATTTCCTTTTCTTTTTTTCTAAGAGAAAATACGGTTGGAGAGACGCTGCCATCATTTTCTCCTTACAGATTCATGAAATAACTCATCTCTTTCAGCTCAAGGTTAGTCATTAAAAACAAAGCCCTTCAAAGGTCTGTTCATCATCTCAGCAGCCAGACAACAACGAAGCGCCTCCAGCGATAAATAAAATGCTCACCAGCTCCTGAAGGCGGAGGAGAGCGGGGAGAAGATTGACGCTGGCGTCTCTCAGAAGTTCAGCTTGCTCTATTACCTGAAAAAATAAAAATAAAACATCACACAAGGCCTTTTTCTGTTTTACAGAAAGCAGCCTTTAGCTGTAAAATTTACAAGAAAAAATAGGGTGAATTTGAAGAGAAAACTGAGCAGACTCACAATGTATCGCGTCTGCTTGCTGGGAAACTCGGAGGTTTGCTGTTTGTAAATGCGAACAAAGTCAGAGAGGGAAGGACTGCGGGGGAGCAGCGATGCAGCGTCGCAACCGAAGAAAGACAGCAGCACTTGTTCAAAGAGCAGCGCGACAGAGACGCATTCCACACAGCTGACAGTGACATGAGGGAGCTGCAGGAGGACAAAGATTAATCAATAAATCAATTAACAGCTTCAGTCATGAAAAATCGAATAATTTAAAGAACTGACAAACTTCCTATCCAAACTAACAATTGGAGTTCATAGGTCCAAAACTTCAAATAGTTTTTGTACATTTTCGCTTTTTATTTTGGGCTTAATTGATAATATTAATTGTATTTAGCAAAGTTTTAATACATCATTTCAGAACATATTTGGTTGTACTTTAGAGTGCAAATCAATGAGTACATGTGTTGTTATTATGACAACAGAAGGAAACTCGAATGCTCTTAAAAGATGATCACTTTGTGTTGCATCAAACATATTTGTGAGCAGATTTTAATTAAAAGTTGTACTTTGAAATAGAGATCATTAAATGACAAACTAAGAGGGGATTTTAAAAAACATGTTTTTTGTGTGTGTGTGTTTACAATCCAATTTTCCAGTTCTCATAAACATCAAAAACACAATATATTTAAATTTTCGGTTTTTTATGTGGATAACTGGCCAGAACTAAAACAAGGAAACTTTTATTTTAATTCAAATGATTGTCTCTTTAAACATGAATATGTTTCTCACCTCCAGTTCCTTCATTAAAACTTTCACTACATGGCTTTTTCCTGATGCTCGATGACCGTAGATGAAGAGTGAGGGGTAGCAGAACTGCTGCGGCTGGATAAACACAATCAGAGGAAAATAAGTCAAATCTGAGCTTTAATTATCATTTAGCTTATTAATCATTATGGAAACAGTTTTAAAAAATGGGGATAACTTTCACACAAAGTAAAACATACATAAATATTAAGCAATAACCACCAGTAGTCACTTGGGAACTAATATAAACCACATATAGCTATTTGTTAGCACCTCTGGATGTAGCATACCTCCCCCATGAGAGAAAGCAGCATCCCAGCCTGGACCTCCCGACAGGGCAGCTGCTCCGACACTCTCCGCAGCTTTTCTCCATCATACCCCGGGAGCTCCAACAACCCTGCCATCCCGATCTGAACCAACCCTGATATAACTGAGCTTCAACCGGTGAAGAAACAGAAAAATAATCCGGCGAGAACCATATGTTAGCTTAGCTGGTGACAGTACAAACAGACGTTGGAGGAGAAGAGGCGACGTGTTCAGACAAAATGAGACTCAAACGGGTGTTAACACCGAAAGCCTCAGCTGAAAACACAAGCAGCCGCTGGGGAAACCTCAATAAGTGAAAGTAAAAAATAATTAGCAAGTAGAAAAAGTGTTTAAAATCTCGATAAAGTCAGAATCATATGCTGAAAAGTCCCGCGCACCGACAGGTTGCGTCACTGCTCGTCGTTCTTCAACGGACCAATCACGTGCATGCAAGGGTTTCTGGGTAATGTCGTTTATTTACCCTCCTTAATAAAAATCAAATTGCACACATTTTAATCTAAATAAAAGTACCATTAATAAATAGAAATAAATAAAAACATGAAGATAATAAAACAATGAATAAGTAAAAAATAGAAATATAAAAATATCAAAAATCATTACCAGATAAGAAAAACAAGCAAGTAAAATCATTAATATAAAACATAAATGAATATTCAGCAGAAAAATATAAGCTTGTGATATTTTTCGCAAATACAAATCAGAAAGAGGGAAATTAACACATCTAATAAATGCATAATGTTAATGTTTGAGTTTTATTTGAATCCATGTGTTTCAGTTCGAGATTTGGCGCCCTGCAGCAATAACACTACGTCAGAATAGGATTAGGAACTGTGGGTTGGCCCAGGAGCCGCGGATCTCCTCCAGTTCTGATTCAGTCGGATCGCAGCTGCAGTCGTTGCTCTATCGGCGCAGAGGACGAACCGAACCGGGCGCATCCCTCCCCGCCTCCGGAGGAAGCTGAATGAGCGCAGATGGAGAGTAAAATCCTCCGCAGATAGGATTTTGGTTTCGTTTTCGGAGCGAGGAATCCACGGATGCGAGGATGCGGTGAAGCTGTGGCTGCAGCTGCAAACCGAACGACCAGAAGGAAGAAGTTCTGCTGAATAGCGAGCCCAGATGAGGCAGATGTCTGTCTGCTGAGAGGTTCAGGACAGAGCAGAAGAGTCCAGAGGATATGGTCCCTGGGGCCCCCAGCACCACGACCACCACCACCACCACCATGCTCCCCGCCTCCGAGGCTGCCAAAATCTACCAGACCAACTACGTGCGCAACTCCCGCGCCATCGGCGTCCTGTGGGCCATCTTCACCATCCTCTTCGCCATCGTCAACGTAGTGTGCTTCATCCAGCCCTACTGGATCGGGGACGGCATGGACACCCCGCAGGTGGGCTACTTCGGTCTGTTCCACTACTGCATCGGGAACGGGCTGTCCCGGGATCTGGTGTGTCAGGGCAGCTTCACGGAGTTCCACAGCATCCCGTCCGGCGCCTTCAAGGCTGCCTCCGTCTTCGTCTGCATGTCCATGGTGCTGGTGCTCACCTGCATCGGCTGCTTCGCGCTCTTCTTCTTCTGCAGCACCGGGACCGTGTACAAGATCTGCGGCTGGATGCAGCTGGCTGCAGGTAGGAGACTCGGGGACTCCAGGTGGGAGTTGATCTGGAGGCATCCAGAAATTCAACTAAAAAAGTTCTGGACGCAAATGAATAGGGGCGCCGGGCTAGAGGGGGCGCCACAATATGGCAACATAATCACTTCTAGTAATTCTACAACTTATTTCATAATTATTTTTTCTTTATTACTGTTTACAAATAAAAGTGTAACCTGTATATTTACTTAGGATTACTCTGAAACAGCGGTGCTCAAAGTGCGGTTCAGGGGCAATTTGTGGCCCTTGAAAGGATTGAAAGGCAGCTGGCTTACATTCAAGCCTTCCAGACTGACAAAATCTGTACATGTTTTGGTCAGAATTTTTACAGAAATGTTTAAAATCTTAAAAAAAAGGCAAAAATTGTTCAGCACCAAAGGTGTTTTGTTGTTTATTATCCATGTTTTTTTTATTTTACGTAAGTAGAAGATTTGAGCACAAATATCCAGGGAATAATATGTAATTGATTCATAACTGATTCTGGAAACAATATATTTTTTGAAAAAAGTAAAAATATCAAAATTTGCGACCATTTGTTTTGTTTCAGATTCACAATCTACAGATTATTTCTCTACAAATATCTGAAGTAAAAATGGAAACAAATTAAATCAATTTTTTTGGGACAAAAAGTGGGCAGAAAATACTTTGAATTCAGCAAATGTTTGCCAAATCTTTTCACACGCCTTTCCGTAATGCTCCACTATAAAAACAAACAGAAGGGCAGCTAAATGTGTGTATTATTTTAGTTTTAACAGCACAAATGAGAACGCAGTTAGTTTTTCACACATTACAGCTGCAATGAGACATAAAATGTTATTTTTCTCCAACACCAACTTATTTTTCTTTATTCTGCACCTTTCAGAATAAAGAAAACATAAAAGTGTAATTTATGTGATCTCAAGCTGCAGTCGGAAACATTAAGTTTCTCTTTAAATCCCTTTGATGTGTGTGAGAATAGCTCTCGACACATCTCAGTGAGTTTAAAGATTATATTTGCATAAAATATAAACAATGATGCACAGAGGAACCCCAGAGAGAGAGGATCTGAATAGAAACTTTAATTTACTCCACAGGCATCTGAAAGTGTTTTTGTTTTGCCAGCGTTTGTCCCCATAGATCCAGATTTCTGACCCAGAATATTAAATAATTCTTCAGCATCAAACTGCACACCTGCTGAAAAGACAGCAGCTCAGTGGGAATTAAACGTCATAACATTAACAGAGAGAATATAGTTCTGCTTTTGAGTCAAAGTACGACCTGCAGCAGTTTCTGCTCCCATAAAGTTCAAACAGTTTTTTGTTTCAAGATTGTTTCCGTTTTTGTCCCAAATTTATTTGGTAGATTTGATTTTTAAGACTGTAGCCTATATTATTTATGCCGCATAAATAATTTAAAAGTCAAACTTTTGAGAAAAAAGTAAGAATTCTGAGATTAAATTAAAACTTTTATAGAAAAAAGTCATAAATCTGAGATTAAAGTCAAAGTTTTGAGAAAATAATTTCTTTTTTTCTAATCCTCTTCTGTAAAAGTGGAATTCCCCAAAGAAGAAGATTTAAATTTTGACATGCAAAAGAATCTGAATCGTAAAGACGACAAAAATATTTATCTGAACATCATATCTGGTTGTCATAAACACAGTGAAGCAAATCCATGTCTTTTACTTTGAAAACTGAGGACGATCAAAATGTGTTTTCTGCTCTCTCTCGTTTCTCTCACAACACAAATTTGACAAGTTCAATTAATTAGAAGCTAAAAATGAAAGTAAATACAAATGAATCATAAAACGTCGCTAAAAATAACATTTCATTTGGGTTTCCAGACAGCTACTCGACTGTCTGATTCAAAACATTCCTGTTTTAGATCCGTCCTGCTGAGTTATTTTCCACCACAGGAGACAAATAAATCGCTCACATGAATGAAGTTAGCAAGTTAAGGAGGCTTAGATTTTGAAATATATCTGAAAATTGCTTCAATATGCTTAAAAATTAAATTCTTAACCCTTTCATGCTATGATCCTTTGTGTGAGGATTTTTATTTTATTTTCTTAAGGCATTAAAAAGGTAGGAAAAAATTTGTAAACATTTTTTTTTAGGTGATCAATTGTAATTTTCTCCAAATACAAAGTTATTTGTAAAATACACCAGTTATTAGGGGTAATCTGATGTCACAATATCTTTTTTACCTGCAACAGTCATTATAGTAGAAGGAGGGACCGGGTCAGTCGGCAAGTTTTTTTGTCTTTCGGCCATATTGGATTTAACAAAAATAATTTTCTTTCATTTGCAGTTGATGGCCAGTAGTTGATAGTCTGTTTTATGATTCTTTAGTGTCCACTTTGGTGATCTGTGTGCATTCATAACATAAGAATCCACAACAAGCATAAGGAAATGGCTTTTAGACAGCTCTCCATTGTAGTGACCACTATGCATAAAAGGGTTCATTTGGAAATCCAGATTAATTTACTCCATTCAGTCCTTCTTGTTAATAATTTTCTCAGATAAAACATTTCCCTGCAGCTAAAATACAATCATGGAGGAGATTTCTGCCTCTGCAAGAACTCTGGAAATCCTCCCTGTCAGGAAAGTCGTTCCCAAATGTTCAATTAGTTTTAGTTTGGTATTAGATTCCAGAAATGCAGTTTTGATGAAAAAACTCAGCGACGGTTGAACAATCAAACATTCCTGTTTGATGGTTTTTCTTGACCGAGGCGTGCCGGGAGCGAATGCGGTTCATTAACACCAAACTCAAAAAGAGAGACGGATTTTACACCTTTCTATGCTGCTAAAAATGACTTCTTTTTTTTTTTACAAGAGTGAGAAAAAAACTGTTTGTGGAGGAGAGCGGATGGATAACGAGGTGGCTGTTATCCACAGGCAGGGGTTGCAAGGTGTGAATGTCCAACTGGATGAAGGTAATTAAAGGCAAACAAACACGAACCGACAGGAGAATCAAACTGGTTCTGACCAAACAACTTTTCTGTTTACTTTGCAACTATTGTCCGTACAACAAGACACTGGAGCCCTGAAGACAGGAAAACAAGACAGAAAAAAAAGGAGTAATTTTATGCCAAAATACATATTTTGTTTTAGAAAAAAATAAGGACATTTATGAGAGCCAAAAGTTGAAAATTTGCAAGAAAAAAACTAAAATTTTCTGGAAAAAACATGGAAATTTCTCAGTTTAAAAGTCAAAAAAATACTATAAAAAAAATCAAAATTTTTAATTCATCTTGTAAATTTTAAACTTTTAAAAAATGTGAAAAATTTATGAGTTTAATCTGAATATTCTTGGTTGTTTCTCAGATTTTTGACTTTTGAAATGCAAATTTTTTTCTGGAAAAGTTAAAAGATTAATTTCAAAATGTCTAAGTTTTTTGTAAAATACACCAGATTTTCAACTTGAAACACAAAACTCTTCTAAATATTTTTTTTAAAAGTTCATAGGACTAATCTAAAAAATTCAGATTTTTTTTTCTCACAAATGTTCAACTTTTGAAAGTCATAAATTTACAAGTTTCTTTTCTTGGCAATATTTGCACTGAATTTCCACAGGGAATTACACTGAAAATATCAGTAATACATTTGTATGTGACATTTGCGTCTGAGTTTTATTTGGTTGTTTTCAGAGTTAAAATGTATTTTAATATAAATGTTGTAGATTCTTGACCTTAGTTTTCATAAATTTGTTAAAGGCAGATATGGTAATAAAATAAAAACTATTTTGGTGATCCTGACCTATCAGTCTGGATGAAAAGGTTATTTTTCTGCAGCTTTAGCTTAGAAACCATTTTATTTTTTATACTAAAACCAGGAAGCAGTGCGGAAGCTGTGAGCAGCAGCAGGAAGTAATCAGTGATGTGACGCTGCACATTGATGCCCAATAATCCGGATAACCGCCTGGATCTGAGAACCGCACTCAACGAACAGTTAGAAAACCTTCTGCATGGAAACTTGCTCCTGTCTCAGCAGCTGTCAGCCCATAAATGTCCATCGGATCAGAGGTGATTCACTCTAAAGTGCTGCTGGAACATCTGCAGCACGGCGGCCATTTTCTGGTCAGTCCTCATGGTCTGGTCGGCCCACTAAGTGGTGCTTTAGAGCAGGAGCCGGATCTCCAAGGCAGCGATTAAAGGTCCATTTGGTAGCTGGAAGTATTGATCCGAACGTTGCTTTCCAGAATAACTGGAAGTGGGGCTGTAGCAGGACGCAGCTGCCGCTACTTGGCCGCCTTTGTGCCATGAAGATTCACTGATGATATGTTGCTGTGAGAAAGGGAGGGCTTAATTTTTACACAAGATGTGTAAAAAATTATTTTTTACACAATTAAAAAATAAAAGAATTATGACTCTAATTTCACAAGATTACAAAAGACTAAATCTAATGAAGAAAAATTCAAAATTTTGAGAAAAAGATCAGAATATTTAGAAAGTCAGAATTCTGAGAAAATTAACTGAGAAAAAATGTAAATTCTTAGAAAATTAAAAATTCAGAGAAAAAAAATTGATTCCTTAAAAAATTCAAAATTTTGAAATTAAAAAACTCCAAAAAACCCCTGAATTCTCAGAATAAACTAAAAATCTGACAATAAAAATCTGATTCCTTGGAAAAAAAATCTAAATCATGAGGAAAAAACATGTGAATTCTGAGAAGTCAGAATTCTGGGTTACTATGATTTAATATGCACTTTACTCTTCCATCATTTTGCTCAGATATCTTAAGAGAGCGAAGACAATCTCTGAAAAGCACTTTAGGAAGTTGCATCATTATTGTTAGAGTTCTGTAACTGAGGCTTTCGTTTAAGTTTTGTCAATAATTGTGGAATATTGATTTTAAAGAAGCACATTAATGTAGACTGAGTCCATTTCCAGTACAAACTGAAGCTGAGTGCTAATGACATCAGCCCAATTGTTATCCTCTCACATATAATGAGCTACAGAGGGAGGCTTTACAGTTATGTAACATGACCTCACATTACACA